CCGATTGTCCGGTCCGGGTATTTTTTCCTCCCTTGCTCGTTGTGTGCAGCTGGCATGTTCCCGGCTTGCATCAGTCAGCGTCGAATCGGGAAGTCGGGTTAAACTGGAGCGTACGTCGGATAGGGCCCTGTAGCACCATGCAAGTCTCGGAACGCACCTGATTCTCGATGTATATGAATCGCATCGGGCCGAGCCAGCGCAATCGATATATCGAGCTGGATTGATCGGATCAGGATGGACCCACGCGTGCCTGGTCCCGACTGGTCTGGCCGCCTGGCGAAAGACAACAGCGGGCCACAAAACACATAAGTCTGAGGTCCGCCAGGATTCCGTGGGTCGGTGCTGGACACCATGCTGACGCAGAGTCTTCACAAGAAAGCGCACAGGTCCAGCCAAGCACCAAAGGGGTGGCGAAAAGAGTGGGCCAAGCAGGTCTCGCACGCCCCCCCCCCCTCCTCTCGGCTACATGCAAGAGCCACCCTGGGGTAAGAGTGACCTTTGGTGCGCGGCTTTGGGGGGCCGCGGGGGGGGGGGGGGGGGCAACCCCAAGCAGTGTTTGGTATTTGCCATGGAGATGCCCTCGCAGCGCTCGGGCCCTGTGGCCCCCCCCCCCCCCGCGGGCCCCGGGACCGTGGAGAGACAGTTGCCAGCATGGCGAACGTGGTCTTAGATCGGGCCTGTCCACCTGCAGGGGGATTTTTGACGAAATATAAAAAATATTCCAAAAATGCTCAAAAGATACAAAAAATACAAAAAGAATAGTCCCCATACTATGTTTTGACTGTTTTTGAATATTCCCCCTGTAGAGTGGCAGGCCCGACTTCAACGGGGTACCCAGAGGTCCGTAATTTGTTGTTCTCCGGTGCGGGGCCCCCGAACCCAGACCCCCTCCAGTGGTGAAGACATCACGACGGGTTTTTTTTCAAGTGTTCGGTGGCAAGTCGTGGGATCCTGGTACATACCCCAAGACCCCCTCGAGTCGTGAAAAAACCACGACGTGAGGTCTCGCGCCATTTTCGGCCTCTGCGGACCCTCACCGGGCCTCGGCACCGTCAGAAAACGATTTCGGGATGGAAAACCGGTCCCGGGGAAGAGGTCGAGACCTCGGGGGGTGGACGTAACGAAAAAACCATGGCGTCGGGGGTCTGGGAAGTCCTGACGCTCTCACCGGGGCCGGCCCCTCATCCCGAGCCGCTATGTGACTCTACCCGGGAGCTCCGGGTCCTGGCCCAGACCATTGGGTACCGACGTTTGTTCGGTCGCGATCGGTAGCGACCGATCGGCACTCCGAATCGGTCGCGACCGATCGCGGCCGATCCCAGAATCGGTCGCGACGGGTCGCCACCGATCGCGACCGATGGGTCGCGACCGAGCTTGGAAGCAGATCGGTCGAGACCGATACCGAACTTCCTGAAGCAACATCGGCAGCGACTGATCTTGTCGCTCGCTGACCAGGGCTGGAGGGGGGGGGCCTCCCCCGGTCCCAGGGCCCGTCGCCCTTCTGGGCGCCCCCCGGAGCGGTGCGGTGCGGCGACAGACCGTGCGGTGACCTCGCGAAGTCCCCACGACGACCTCTCACGGCAGGGCCCGCCACCGCACCGTGCGGGGGCCCTTTGGAGCAGGGGGACCGCCGACTGCAGAGCTGGTTTGCCCCGAAATCGACTTTCCTTCGAGCCTGCGAACGGAAGCGCAGAATGCTCCACGGAGCATTCTACGTCTTCTTCGTGGACTCGACGAACAAATCAAGTCAAGCAGTCGATCGACTGCAGAATTGATTTACTCCAAAACGGCGGCGAGCGAGGGGGGGGAAACGAGAAGGAGAAGGCCCTCTCAGAAGGCGGCGGGACTTCCCAAAAGCCCTCGCGCCTTCTGAGAATTATTTTGCTTTTGCCTTCGGGGAGGGTTTAGAAAAGTTCTCAGAAGGCCGGGGAACTTCCTAGCCTTCTGAGAAGGCCTCCTCCTTCTCACTCCCCCCCCCTTACTCGCCGCCGCCGATCAGAAGTCGCCTTCAAGTCGACTCTACGAACGACAGCGGAGAAGGCTCCACGGAGCAGCCTGCGCATCCATCGCGGGCCCGACGAACATGTCAAGTCCGGGGCAAGTCTGAGCAGGGACCGACCGTCCCGGCATTCCTATAGTCCTGCCACGAAATGTTCTTAGAACCCAAAAATGTTCAAATAACAAAAAGAATGTTCTTAGAACATGCGCCCGATGTGCTAAAACTGGACGGTGCCAGCCAGAAATGTTCGAGGCACCTTTCGTGGAAGCCACAAAAGGTTCTCAGAACATTGTTTGGTTCAGGGGGACGTAAGACCTGGGTACCGGGGACTCGGAAATCCCCGACGAGGTCGCCAAAAAATGACGAGGCCGAGCCTGCATTTTGACGAGGCCTCCCGCTGCAGACATCCCACGAAACTCCTACTCGTCAAAATCCGAGTCGCGGTCGTCAAAAAACGATGGCGAACCCGAGTCCTGGCAAACCCGGGTCTTACGCTCCCCCGATTGGTAGGGCTATAGGCGAGCCAGGACGCCTCGCCACTGCGTGAAGGTCAAACTCCGCAGTCGAGCCCCGCCGCCAGCGCCCCGGCGGCCCCCACCGCCCGAGGCGCCCTCGGAGGACGGGCCACGCCGGACCCGTGCTGGGGCGCCGAGCTCCCCTTTGGGGCTCCCTCTCGGAGGAGGGCCACATTGGTCGAGAGGAGGAGCTCCCTCCTCAGCATCATCCCAGACCCCCTCGAGTTATGAAAAAATCACGACGGGAGGTTTTTCGCTATTTTTGGCCTCTGGGGGCCCTTGCCGGGCCTCGGGACCGTCAAAAAACGACTCAGGATGAAAAACCGGTCCCGGGGAATGGGTCCAGACAGCTGGGGGTCGACGTCATGAAAAATTCACGACGTCGGGGGTCTGGGATGCGGGCACAGATAGGTCCCCAGATGGCTGAAAACGAACCAGTAGCAGCTGGTCGCGCGCCCAGATTTGGCCCCCCGCGGCCCCCCAAAAGCTGCGCACCGAAGGTCACCCTTACCCAGGGTCACTCTTGCGTATAGCCGAATGATCATCCCGACACGCGAAGACGTTTAGTAAACGCACCCAAAAAAGAAGTCGAGCGGGGCAGGGCTGTTTAGTAAACGCCCAGGGCTGTTTGTTAAACGCCAGTTGTCGGGTCTGGGTGGGTTTCCTCCATTGAGTTCACGTGGTTTGGGGCAAAGCCGAAGGGCCGCTTGAAGTGACGTCGGCTCTCCCTCCCGCTCCGAAGCCGCTCAAAAAAATCAATCCCCGGACCCTTCCGGGGGGTTGCTCTCCTGGCCCGATGTGTTCGATGCGGGTATCCAGCCGTGGCGGCGAAGAGGCCTCCTGGAGGCCTCCCCCGGAGAAGGGAAGCACGCAAGGGACGACCGCCGTCGTCTCCACTGGCCCTCCTCCGACCCGCCCCTTCGCGGCGATCCTCGCCCCCTCCCCGGACATCCTCGCGTTGTGAGAACATGCGACGGGAGGTTTTTCTCAACTCTCGGCCTCCGGGAGCCAATCCCGGGCCTCGGGACTGTCAGAAAACGACGCAGGATGAAAAACCGGTCCCCGGGAAGGGGTCCAGACCTCTGGGGGTCGACGTTGTGAAAACATAAAAATCACGACGTCGGGGGTCTGGGTCTTGGGAACGAGGAACAATGCCACCACGACCACCAAGGACCACCAGCGAGAGGAGCCAGGGGGATCCCCCTGGTGGTGTGCAACCCCCCCTCTCGCTCGAGACATCCCCCATCACCAGTCCGGGGAAGCATCGTGTACCTCCTCGCTGGAGGTGGGTCCCCTGGCGGTCAGTTCGGCGCAAGGTCATGGACACTTTCACTGGTGCACGCGCTCTGAGGTTTCGTTCCAAATTCGTTCTAGTTCTGGTCTGGGTCAAAACTGGGCAGGATTGACACGACAGCGGAGCGAAACTGGAATGACAAAAGAACGAAACGGGAACAAACCCGTGACGAAAACTGGGACTGCGCTGGAACGAACCTGGAACGAAACTGCAACCACACCATCATGAAACTGGGACGAAGCAAGCACGTCCAACCGCTGATAAAGACGAACATGCAACGTAAGTGCGACGAAAACGCCTGAAGAAAACGCATGATTCATAAACATCTCTGGGGAAACCAAAAGGTACCCATACTGCTACTTCCCGGACCTCTCCCAGGGTGCGTTCTGACCAGAATTTCGAGACGAATCCATCGGTGGCGACAAGGGCCTCCCATGAACCCCAAAGAAGCGAAAACGAGGCAAGGGTAGCGGTATGGGGGCCTGTATCTCCTCGGAATCTCGAGGGTGGCGCTCCTCTCTCCCGCGCCCTCCGCCCGATGCTTCGGTGGCAACTCGTGGGAGCCTCCCATACCATCCTGTCAGCTCTTGCGAATCGACGCTCGTCGACGCTAGTCGACGCTGATCGAGGCTAAATCGACGCTAATCGACGCTAGCCAACGCTACATCGGTGCTGTTTCATCGACTCCCAGACGCTAGTCGACGCTAGTCGACGTTAAGAGGGGCAAAGCCAGACCCCCGACGTCATGATGTTTTCGTAACGTCGGCCCCCAACCGTTTCGAACCATTCCTCGGGACCGGTCTTTCATCCCGAGCCGTTTCTGGACGGCCCCGAGGCCCGGCAAGGGCCCCCAGGGGCCGAACATGGCGAACCTCCCGCCGTGTCTTCTTCATGACTCGAGGGGGTCTTGGGGTACAGTCGGGGCCCTGAAGAAGGAACCCTTTTGGTTGGGGAGGGGCTCCGCGTTCCTTAAGTGTTTCACAGCTTGCCTCAGGCTTTCCTTAGGTTTTCGACAGGAAACCGAAGGTTAACTTATGGAAAAAAGGGGCCTCGTTCCTTATTTAGGGTTCCTTAGGTCAACGCCCCGACTGTATACCAGGACCCCATGACTTGCCACCGAACGCTGCCGCGGCCCACGGCAGGCGTGCTGTCAGCCCTCGCCCGCGGCGAGCAGCCCCCGGCAGGCGTGCTGTCAGCCCGCGCCCGCGGCGAGCAGCCCCCGGCGCTCGTCCGGCCGGCGGGCCGCGCTCGTGGAGCGGGCGCGCGGCCTGAGGAGAGGAGGAGGAGGAGGAGGAGGAGGAGGAGGAGGAGGAGGAGGAGGAGGAGGAGGAGGAGGAGGAGGGGGGGCGGAGGCTGGGCGTCGCTCAGTGGAGGGGCGGCCAATGTTGGCTGCGAGCCCATGGGGGTAAGGTGAGAAGGGGCGGGCCTCCTCAGAAAGCTCGGAAGCTCCCCCGCCTGCTGAGAAGCCTTCCCCGAAGACAGCGAACACTTCTCGGAAGGCGCGAGGGCATCTGGGAAGTCCCGCCGCCTTCTGACAGGGCCTTCTCCTTCTCACTTCCCCCGCTCGTTCGCTGCCGACAATGGGGGGGGGGGGGGGAAGCGAGGGCTGCAGGGAAGGGGCCCTTGAGGGCCCCCGAAGGGGCCCCTCAGGGCCCAAGAACGGGCCTGGAGAGCCCGACGAGTGCACCTTTCTCCCCCCCCCCCCCCCCCCCGGATCGCCCCTCCCCCCCCATAAGGCGACGCCCAGACCTGGAGCCTCGAGGACACTCTTGGAAGCCCTGGGGAACTTCAAGGGAGCCCCAAGAAGCCCCACGAAGCCCGAGTGGCTGATCCTCAGAATGGCCCCGAGGCCCAGCAAGGGCCCCCAGGGGGCGAACATGGCGAACAACCTCCCGTCGTGATTTTTGTCATGAATCGAGGGCGTCTTGGGGGTATGCCAGGATCCCATGACTTGCCACCGCACACTGCCGCGGCCCGCGGCAAGCGTGCAGTCAGCCTCCCGCCGTGATTTGTTCCACCACTCGACCGTCGAGGGGGGGGTCTGGGGAGCCACGGCGCGCTCCCAGCAGCCCGAGACGGCCCCCGGGGTGGCGAGCGAGGTCCTGGCCTGTCTGCGGCTGCCGCGAGCTGCTCGCTGCCAGAGGCAGGGCGCCCGCGGGGCCCTCGCGGGGCGCGGCCCTGGGCCGCCCCGCCGAGCCCCGGGGGGGCGGGGGGGGGTGGGGATCGAGAGCCCGAGGGTCGAGGGAGGATGGAGGAGGATCGAGGAGGATCGAGGAGAACCGAGGAGGATCGAGGAGTGTCGAGGAGGGTCGAGGGAGGATCGAGGAAGGATCCAGGAGGATCAGGGATCGAGCAGCATCAGAGCGGCCGCGGAGGCGAGCGAGCGGGCGGGGGGGCGACCACGAGAAGGCCTTCGTCGGCCTGCCGCGGCCCACGGGCCCGCTCGAGTCGGTGAGGGAGAGGCGCCGGGTCGTCCCGGAAGCGGCCTGGCGAGTCCTCGTACACGTAGAGGGGGAGCTTCGGGCGCGATGAGGCACCGGTCCCGGGGAATCGGTCGAAATCGCTGGGGGGCGACGCCACGAAAAATCATGACGTCAGGGGTCTGGGCACGGGCCCGTGGACCTGGCGGATGGGCGCCAGATCCACGGATCCGTGGAGGCGCCCACCCGAGACATGAGACCGATGCCGCCCGGCAACCGACGACGCCGACTCCACATGGGATGGGGACCCGTCGCGAGCCCACGCGCAGTGAACCCTGCCTCGGCGGCGAGCGAGGGGGGGGGAAGGTGCGAAGGAGAAGGTCACCTCAGAAGGCGGCGGGGCTTCTCCGAAGCCCTCGCGCCTTCGGAAACGTGCTCTCTGTGTCTTCGGGGGAGGCTTAGGAAGAACTCCTCAGGAGGGGAACATCCGAGCCTTCTGGGAAGGCCCGCCCCCTCTCGCTGCTCGAGCCGGGCGCGCCGCCCACACAGCCCGCCGGAACACAGAAGGGGAGGCGGCGGGGGTCGCGGGAGACGCGGTTGGCCACCTGTTATAGGACGCGGGGCCCGGGGGCAATGTCGGACGTCAGGCTGAGTTGCGGATTTGAGAATCCCACCAGCCCTCTGGGCGTAGGTGGTCTAGAGCAGATCCTCTTCCACCCCTCCCTCTTCCCCCTTGGGGAGGGGTTTACCCCTCCCCCTACCCCCTCCCCTGGACCTGGACGGGGGGGGCCGCGGGTAGTTAGAGCGTCCCAGATGGCCCAAGACGGCTCCAAGAGCGCCTCAGAGAACCCAAGATGAGCTCCAAGATGGCTCAAGATAGCGCAAGATCGCTCACGATGGCTCCTAAGATGGTTCCAAGAAGCCCAAAGACGGCCCCAAGATAACTCCAAGTGGCCAAACAGCTCCCCAAGGAGGCCCCGAAGAGGCCAAAATCGTCCCAAAACCTAAGGAAAATCAATGATTTTTGCTTTCTCGCCTTTTCGCTTCCGATGGCCATCCGAGGCCTGGAGATGGCTCCAAGATGGCCCAAGAGGGCCCCAAGAGAGCCCCAAAAGAGCCCCAAGACGGCCCCAAGAGCGCCCAAGAGCACTCCAAGAGCGTTCCAAGAGGGGTCCAAGAGGCGATTTTAGGGGCTTCCGAGGGGGGACGCTAATTAAACCCCCCCTCTTGTTTGATCGACTCCCTCCAAGATGGCCCCAAAAGCGCCCCGAAGGCTCCCCAGAGCGCCTCAAGAGGGTCCCAAGAGGCGCCCAAGATGCCCCAAGGCGCCCAAAAAGCCCTCCAAGAGGCCCTCAAAAGACCCCCAAGAAGCTCCTTCCCCTCCTCCTCCTCCTCCTCCGATTCTTCCTCCTTCTCCGTCCTCCTCCTCCTCCTCCTCCTCCTCCTCTTCCCCCTCCTCCTCCTCCTCCTCCTCCGACGACGACGACGACGACGACGACTCCTCTTCCATCCTCCCCCTCTCGGGGTCTGTGACAGCTTCCCCCGCCCTTTGTTATTCTGCATGCTCCCCGACTTCCCTGATCACCTCAACTCCCCTGAGCATCGTTTCTGGATGGGCTGGTGGGGATACGCGAAGCGTCAACAATATTAGATGCATCTCTCACCAACTTAGGAAGGCACCAACTATACACCATCACCGATCCTGGCCCAGGATCACCCTGGGCCCAGGATCGGTGTATACGCCCTCCTGCCTTGCGCAAGAAGGCGATCCTGGCCCAGGGTGATCCTGGGCCAGGATCGGTGTTGGTGTATAGTTGGTGCCCTCCGACAACTGCAATATGATAACGGCCAAATTGGGGCCAGCGTCTGACAGCGGTCTTTTGCCTGAGGCGTCCTCGGCAGCAAACTTCGGATGGCCTTCCAGGGCGCCCCCGGAGCTTTCCAGACGGGCCCAAGATGGTAAATGCCCCCCTTCTACGCCGCACAGACGGCCCTGGTCTAGAGGGGGGCCTAAATCCCGCCATCGACGCGCCGCTGCAAGCCAACCACTCCGACATGATCCCAAGACTCCCGAGGGGCCCCCTGGAGCCACAAGACGCTCCAAGACGCACCCACTTGGACCACCAATGACCCGACGAGCCTTACAGGAAGGCCCCCCCCCCCCCGAGCTGCCCAACCGTCTCCTTGGGCCTCTGGCTCACGACCCGAGCGCAGCGGAAGGATCGGCCCAAGGCCGCAAAATGGTTCTCTTGTCGCATGTCACAGAGGAGGAGGAAGAAGAGGAGGAGGAAGAAGAAGATGATGATGAGGAGGAGGAGGCGGAGGAGCACAACGCATGACAGACAACCGCCTCATGTGCACAAGATGTTTTCTTGTCGGGGTCGGCAGAACCGGACGTTGAGGCCTCTGCGAAGGGGCCCGCTCCAGGGAACGCGCGTCCTGGATGGAGTCAGAGCGTCAGGGCCGCTTCTTCGAGCCAGCGCGGACGTCCTGGGTTGCCCTTGGACCTGGAGGCCGCTACGCGTCCAGGGGTGGTATCGACTTGGAGTGCAATTGCATGATCGTGGCGTTGGCTGTGGACGGCGTACAGGAGGGGACATTCACTGGTAGAGAGTCTCGAATGCATCAGTCGGCACCGACGGAGGTGTGCGAACCAATGAAGGCTGCAATCGGGTTCCAAGACACCCCTGGGCTTTTGCCAGTTCCCGTCGCCACAAGGAACCGCAATTGGCCACAAAAGACGAAAGCCCCGTCGACTGCAATATCAATGCTGGGACTTATCGGGAACAAGGATACAACTTGGGCACGAACGGGGTGCGGAGTCTTGCGCAAGACGCTCCGTCTGAACTGCCAAAGGTTGACCACTGGTGGAAGACTTTGCGACACGCCACCTGATTTGGAGCATAGGGCGCTGCAGCCAAATTTGGCGTGAGATCCTAAGTGCACACGCCTGAAACTTGATCTACAACGGGGACGCTGCCGCAAGGAACCCTCGCACAAAGTCCGGAAAAACAACAGAATTTGCTGCCCAGGGCTTGGGTGCCTCAGCAACTGGCTTCAAATCGGAGAAGCCCGGGGTGCCCTGGGCGCAACCCAAGGATCGGGGGAAGTCCCCGTGCATCGCTGGAAACGAGACGCGTCCGATGTCTTGGTGCGAGCCCCGTGTAATGGGATCGCCTGCAGCAACGGACTTGCCCCAAAACTTGATTTATCCGTCGAGCCTGCCGAACAAAAAACGCAGGACGCTCAATAGATCCTCGGCGCGCTTTCCGTAGGCTCGCCGGGAAGACCCGGCTTGCGGCGAATCAATTCTGCAGTCGAACCCCCCCTCGAGAGAACCGACGTCGTGAGAACGTGGCAGCCCTGAGATCTTGACCGATGCCAGTCTTAGGTCGGGCCTGTCCCCCTACAGGGGGGATTTGGGACGCACGTAATCAAGAGAATTGTCCCCAAACTATGTTCGGACTATGTTTGGATGTTCCTCCTATGAAGAGGGACAGGCCCGACTTGATGCCAGTCCCCCCCGCGCCGCTCTCTGCCGACCCGTGCCCTGGGCCGTGCACCAGGGCGGACGACGGGCGGGCCCGAGGGTGCGGGGCGCCGCCGCGGGAGGGGACGTCCCGGGCGCCCGGGAGGCGCAGCAGCCACGGCGCGCGGCAGCGCAGGCCCCATTTTTTGTCAAGGGGCCCCGCGACCTACACACAAATAGACACAAATCCCAGTACACCCCCTATTTTCACACACACACACACACACACGCACACACACACACGCACACACATATATATATATATGAATATATATATATATACTATATATATACTATATATATATTATGGGTGTTCGTCTTCCCCCCCACTTCCAATATTTTTCCCACATGCTCCTGGACATCGACGATTCCTTGTGCCTGTGTGTGTTTCCCCCTCCTGACCATTGCCGGCGCTGGCAGGCTAGGGCCGTGGCAGATGCGCGAGGAGAACGGCGTCGCGACAGGCCGACGGGGGCTGGCCACCTCCCGGCTACGCACGGAGATGGCTCAAGACGTGGAGGCACATCCTCTCCCAAATCATGAGCCCTCGCTTGGATGAAACCGATCGCGCCCACATAATCTGGCGGAGGACGTACTCCTGAGATAACCCGGGCTCTCGCCCTAAATGTCCCCCTGCTCGTGACCAGCGCTGCACCCGTGCTGCATGCTGCACGATGGCACCGGCAGCCATGCTGCACGCCACACTCGCATTGCCAATCAAATCCTCCTCACACGCTCAACGAGATCATGTGGCGTCATCGGGCACTCGTTCGACAAAAGAACAGATGGCATCTGATCCGGACCCAGGCAACAAAAAAGCAGAAGCAAAGCTCCAAAGCCGTCTTCAAACCGTCCGAAAGCGAGCGAACACATCGGATAAACACATCTGACCAACTTCCGCATATCATTGCAGAACCTCCGCAGACCGCTGCATCGCTGACGCAATCAACCGCATCCTATAACCCCTGGCGACGTCCGAACACTTAAAGGGGGGCGGAAGCGAGGTTGGAGGGGGGGGATGGAAGAGAGGGATAATGCTAGTTCTCTTAGGCAGGTTGCAAGGCGCCTCTCCGCCTGAAGCGTCAGGGAGAATGCTCCTCCGCAACCTCCTGCCCCCTCGCATCCACCTGCTGGACCGACTCCTCTGCCAGAGGCCGCCTGCAAGGAAGGCAGACAATTCGCCCTCCTCCGTGCTGCAGTCGACTGCGCTCACGGTGCCCTCCCAGATGGTGCTCCTCACCCTTCGTCGTCCCCCCCCCGCCCGTCCCCCCCCCTCTTTTCCTCTGCTCCTGCCCCATCCTGTGGGATATGGCGAAGGGGGGGACGCGGGGAGGCGGAGGAGGCAGAGGGGGACGATAATTACGAGGTGGAGGGAGGGAGGGACGGACGGAGGAAGAGAGGGAGAGCAGAACGTGCAGGCTGAGCGAGCATGAGGCGGCAGAGGGGGCACTCTTCCTCGCCTCCGTGGGCCCTCCCCTTCCCCTCCTCCTCCGCCGTTGCCCCTGCTCTCTCTTCACAACCCCCTGCCGACCCTGCGCCTGCTGCAGCCTCTGCTCCCGCCCGAGCTCCCGGGCTCCGTCCCTCTACAATTACACACGCTATGAATACGACTCGCCCCTCTCCCATGACTCTGCCCGGAGAATCTCCCGTCCTCTCCGAGTCTTGTGGGTGTGCTTTGTTTACGCACTGGATGTCAGATTTGGTTTGTCCTATGTGTTGTTTTCAATCCGCTCGCTTTATTGCTTCTTCCAAAATGGTGCTCCCGCTGCAGCGCCTCCCTCGTTACCCTCATTGCCGCGCTTCGGTCATTCAAAATCGTGCTCCCGCTGCAGCAATGGCCTCGTTCCCGCGCCTCCAGACGGCACTTAGCATTCGAAAACGCCCACATCGGGCAAGCACGGATGCGGAGGACATGGAGCCGGCATTATAGACAGGCCGTTTTTTTCGTAGTCGGGCCACTTACCCCCCAAGGCATCTGGTGCCATGTCACGTCATGCAATGCGATGCTGTGTTGTGCACCGCTGTGCGATGCCATGCATTGTGATGCGATGCTTCACCATGCAATGCCACGACATGCTATGCTCTGCCGCGCTCTTCTACGCCATGCTTTTTCATCCATCGCGTACCCTCTTGGGGTCATTGCCCTGCTCGACATCCGACTGTGCGAATAGACAGGAGATCTGCGCCATGGTAAAGGATTCAAGGGAGAGGTAGGACGTCACATGTGACGCTAGCGCACCTAGCGTGGCACTTCTCCTACCAATCCTCCCCCTCCTCTTCTCGTTTAAGCTCCTCCTCCTGATCCTCCTGCCGCCCATCGCCCGAACAATCGACCGACATAGCCAATCGGACGCCTCCTCGGCGGGGGGGGAAGCTGCGGGGCACCGCCGAAAACCCCTCCCTTCTCTTTCCCGCGCATCGCCCCCTCATCCTCTTCTCCTCCTCAACCCCCCCTCCTCCCTCCGTCCCTCCTCCTCCTCCTCCTCCTTTTCCTCCTTCCCCTCCCTCCCTCCCTCTTTCCTCCGTCATCCCTCTTCCTCGTACATACCGCATCCCTGTCACACCCGGAGACGGGTCGGTAGGGCGGGCTGGGCGTTTCGCCTGAGACTTACCCACCATTTGCGATCGTGAAGCTTGAAAGTTGCAAGAGTTTCATGACTGGAGGTCGGGTCGTTTTCAAAATGTGGTTTTCGCCGTCGCGCAGCGCCCTTTCGTTTTTTGTTTAAACAAGTTTGCAAGAAGGTCACGGACGCAGCGCGGGTGGATTCCAAAATGTTGCTCTCGCCTTTGCGTCGCACATATTCGTCTTCAACGTTTGCAAGAGTTTCACGTCTGGAGGGCTGGTATTCCTTTGGCAGGAGACTTAAGCAACTCATGCGTCTTCTTGTTCAACATGATCGCTCTCTCTCTCTCTCTCCCTCCGTGTCCAACCCAACCCAATTATCCCCCCCACATCATGATTAAACTTACATCTCCATAAACTTACTCGGGGGGGCCGTCCACGCTCCCTTTGGCCCCATCCAACGCCACCTCCATCATATGCTGATACTCACTCAAGGCCGGACTCACCTTCGTATTCACTCACATATGTGTCAGCTCATGCTCAGACTCACCCATACTCAAGCACAGCCGCATTCATATATATATATATATATATATTCACACGCAAGCTCAAACACACACGGCCTCATGTACAGTTAGACTCCTTCGTACACGCAGTCACTCGCAATCAGACGCAGTGCCGTGCGAGCGCGCCGCATGTGTGCTTGTTAAATAAACGCATTAGCGTGCTAGTGCGTTGTGTCGCACTGCTCGGTGAAGGTGCGCTTCACCAAAATTTGGGGATTTTCGGGTGCAGTGTTGACCTTGTCCCCCGAAGGGCGGGGTGGTGGACGGCGCCTTGGTTTTTGACGCCGTCAGGTCTGCGCCCGCAAGTTGGGCTCTCGAGGCCAAAACCCTGGCGCACTTCCGCTTGCCCATTTTGTCGTGTCCTCTGGCTCGTCTTTGAATTGGTAAAATGGCAACCCTTTCGTCGTCCTGCAATCGTCTGTACACGGAACGTCCGTAGCCAGTTTAGCCCAAGCACTTCTGGGCGATTCTCTGCGTCCTCGCGTCAGCGCACCATGGCACGCGTGAGGGGTATGCCGAAATGAGGTGGAACTGCATGCGAACCCTGCCACTGGGGCTTTGGGTGGAGCACCCTATGAGGCCGCAGAACGTGTTAAGGGTGCGCCGAAATGGGGGGGTGGAGCTGCATGCGGACCGTGCCACTGGGGCCTTCGGCGGAGCCCACGGAACGTGTGAGGGGTTCGCCGAAATGGAGGTGGAACTTTATGCGGAGCCGTCGCTGGGGCCTGGGGCAGGACACCCTATGAGACCACACAACGTGTGAGGCGTATGCCGAAATGGGGGTGGAACTGCATGCGGACCCTGCCACGGGAGCCTTCGGTGGAGCACCCTATGGAGCCACGAAACGTGCGAGGGGTGCGCCGAAGGTGGAACTGCATGCGGACCCTGCCACTGGGGCCTTCGGCGGAGCACCCTATGGGGCCACGAAACGTGTGAGGGGTGTGCCGAAATGGAGATGAAACTGTATGCGGACCCTGCCACTGGGGCCTGCGGCGGAGCACTCTAAAGTATGGGGTCACGAAACGCGTGAGGGGTGCCCCGAAGTGGGGTTGGAACTGCATGCGGACCCTGCCACGGGAGCCTTCGGTGGAGCACCCTATGGAGCCACGAAACGTGCGAGGGGTGCGCCGAAATGGAGGTGGAACTGCATGCGGACCCTGCCACTGGGGCCTTCGGCGGAGCACCCTATGTGGCCACGAAGCGTGTGAGGGGTGCGCGAAGTGGGTATGCGAGAGAGCAGAGGCAGGGAGGGGAGGAGGGGGAGGAGCGCGGGAGGTGAGGTGAGGTGAGACGCGGGGCGCTGTCTCCTCAAAACGAGGACCCAACACCACAAGATGCTTGGGAAAAAAAAACATGTTGACTCCAGGAACGCTATCTCCCGCAGGAACTACATCAAGTGCGTGCTCGCTTGGGCTGACGTGCACACCAGGGGGCATGCGTCTTTCACAGGGAACGGTAGCGGAGCCTACTACCGTCTTCTCTTGGCGGCGCCTGGCCCGATAGATCCAGGGCTGAGCGCCGCGGCGTACAGGGAGCTGCTGGTGCAGCTCAAGAACAAGAGAGGCAGCGACGACGATGAACGTAGATGTGCCCTGGATCGGCCGCCGCCGAAATTGGAGCCTCAGCGCGGCCTCAAGCCAGAGCCCCGCTCGCCGATAGCGGGCGTTGCAGGCGGTCGGATGACGAGCGTCCTAGATCTGCTGCCGGGGCCCCGCCCAGCACCGAGGGGCCGCCATCGGGCCCTGGTCCGGGCGCGAGCGGGGACGACGTCTCTGGCGGGTCTGCTTCCCGTTCCGCGTATGAGCCCAGGGCGGAACCCGATTCGAGCATCGGCGACGTGCCCGCCGCACGGATCCCCGCCGACCTCGGCAACGGGTACGCCAGCAGACTCAAAGGCGCGTGCCCCAACCCAGGACACGTTAAGTGTCTCATCAGCCGTTCCACGCGCAGGGGTAGCGATTTCGGGCCTGCTGGCACGATGTTGTTCCTCGGGTGTTGGTTGCATCACGCCTCCTCGGTGCCGAGGGAGTGCCATTGCAAGTGGAGGCCGGCCAAGGCGCGCATGCGAGAGCTTGCGTCATCGGAGCCCCAATGATGCCCGCCAGCCTGGAGCTTGCACCTTTTGGCGATTTCGCGAGCCGCGCAGAGGGCAGCGCAGGTCTCGGCATTTCTCTAAATGCGGTCATGCTGGACAGTCCTCTGCGTGGGAAAGAATGCAGCTCGTATGTACCACCAGTTGTTTACAAGAACAGGGCGCAACGGTGCGACTGGGTTGGGCGGGAGGGCACCCGCGCAGGAAGAAAAGAGAGCGGCTCTGCAGCCGCCCTCAAGAAACTTGGGCTGTTTGCTAATCGCGCCCGGCCTTAACGCGATCAGCAAAAACCCGAAGCTTGTTGGAACCCGTGCAACTTGAAATTAGCCATGCGAAGGACCCAACCAAATGCAGTTGTGCGTGCCGCAGTTGTGAGGATCGTCGTCGGTGGAACGCCCTATGGCGCCACAAAACGCGTGAGGGGCGTGCCGATTTTTGGGGGTGGGCTGGTGCACGTGAACCTTCCCACTGGGCCCCCCGGTGGGGCTCCCTACAGGGCCACGAAACGCGTGAGGGGCGTGCCGAAACGGGCGTGACGCCCACATGCGAACTGCGCCACTGGGACCTGTGGTGGAAATACCTGCGGGGCCACGAAACGTTTGAGGGGTGTGCCGAAACGGGCGTGACGCCCACACGCGAACTGCAGCACTGGGACCTTCGGCGGACCACCCTAGGCCACAGAACGTGTGAGGGGTGCGAGGAAACGGGCGTGACGCCCACATGCGAACTGCACCACTGGGACCTTCGGTGCAGGTCCCTATGGGGCCGCGAATCGTGTGAGGGGTGTGCCGAAACGGGCGCGACGCCCACATGCAAACTGCACCACTGCGACCTTCGGTGGAGCTCCCTACGGGGCCACGAAACGTGTGAGGGGTGTGCCGAAGGGGGCGTGATGCCCACATGCGAATTGCACCGCGGAGACCTTCGGTGGAGCTCCCTACATCGGCTCATTGCAAGTTCCTTGAATTTTCGTCGCATCGCTCGCTCGCGGAATCTGGCGGAAGTGAAGCAATGCAGAAGACGGCGAAAAGCCGTCGGAAGGCTTGCGGAAGACAGCGCGAATAAATGACGCCCCGTCCGAACCCCCCCACCCCAGCAGAAACCTAACAATGTAGTTTTTCTGCCGTGGGCCGGGCGGGATCCCGCCTAGCTTACTACCTCTTGTATACTATAACTGTAGTTCAGCCAGGCCAAGAACCCACCCATGACAACTAGGGTACACAAATATCCCCGGTCATCCACGGATCCCGCCATGCTGGGGTCGGCTCGAAATAAGTTTGGGCTCCGGAATTGCAGTATTCCTGGCGTGTCGGGGTCGTCTTGAGGTCATTTTGAGATCATATCTCGGTCATGCTTGGATCGCGCAGCCGTCGTGTGTCAATTCTGGGGCCACCCTGGGCGAGCGTGGGTCCATCTTGTTGCCATCGAGCCATCTCGGCGTCACTCGTGGCTCATGTGTGTGGTCATCTTCGAATCGGCCTGGGACGGCCCAGAATCCATGACTGGATCGTGTTGGGGTGGCGTCATCCCAGAGTCGACTGGGCGTTATCGCCTTGGGCCTCAGGCCCAACTGTAACCATTTTGTGGTCATGGGGACGTCTTGGGACCTCGCGCGCGCGGGCGCTCGGCACGCGCGCGCGGCAACTCATCTCGCCAATGGGCGTACACACGTATACTTCTTGTTGCGAATGTCCCAGGAAACGGTGCAGCCAAGTACGGGGCCACGACACGCGTGAGGGGTGTGCCGAAACGGGCGAAGCCCCCTATGGGGCCACGAAGCGTGCTAGGGGTGTGCCGACACGGGCGTGGCGCCCACATGCGAACTGCACCACTGCGACCCTCGGTGGAGCTCCCTACGGGGCCACGCAACATGTTACGGGTGTGCCGAAACGGGCGTGACGCCCACATCGGGGCACTTCCCGCAGCGCAGATCGATTTGTATAGGGGCCTATGAAGAAGGAACTTGGAAGGAGTGTTCATTAGAACGTCGTTGATGAGTCTTGGGTTTCCACTGGTCCTCCTCCTCATCCTTCTCCCCCTCCCTCCCTCCCTCCCTGCCTCTCTCTCCCTCCCTCCTCCTCCTCCTGCTCCCCATCTTTCCCTCCTTCCCAACTCTTTGTCCTGTTCCTTACAAATAAATCCTCCCAATCGCACCCCGAATCAAGTCGGAAGGTCGGGCCGGGCGTTTCGCCAGAGGCTTCCTTACCATTTCTGATCATGAAGCTTAAATGTTGGCATCCGTTTCATAAATGGAGGGCGGGTCGCTTCCAAAATGTGGCTCGCAGCGCCGCGCCCATTCGTCTTAAAGAATCACAAGAGCTTCGCGGATTGAGGGCGGATCGTGCCCAAATGTGGCTCTCGCCTAAGCGCAGCGCACATATCGTCCCAACAAGAAGTTTACAAGAGCTTCGTGGATAGAGAGCGTGCCGTTTTCAAAATGTTTTGCTGCACTTAAGGATCTTCAAACGGCTGTATCCCAATGGAACACTCCCCTCCATGGAGATGAATCCTTGTAGGGGCCCATGAAGAGGGACCTTGGAGGAAGGGTTTATTCCGACACCGTTGATGAATCTTGGGTTCACAATGGTCTTCCCCCTCCTCCTCCTCCTCCTCCTCCTTCTCCTCCTCCTCCTCCTCCTCCTCCTCCTCCTCCTCCTCCTCCTCCTCCCCCATCCCCATCCCCCTTCCCCCTCCTCCCCCCTCCCCCTCCTCCCCCCTTCTTCGCCCGAGGTCGTCGACGACGCCGACGCCGACGCCGACGCCGACGCCGACGCCGACGACGACGAAGACGACGACGACGACGACGACGATGACGACGACGACGACGACGACGACGCCACGCCCAGCGGCGCGCCCGCTTGCCGCGGCCGCCCGAGGACGCCCAGGACGGCGCGCGCCGGACCTCCGGGCCACCGCAGGGAGAGAGGGGCCCCCCGAGGCACCAGGCCCCCCAAAGGACAGGGGGGAGAGGCCCCCCCAAGGGCAGAGGGCCACTGCCTTCGCGCATCCACGCCCCGCGAAGCGAGCAGGATGAAGGACTCGCAGCTCGCTCCGAGATCGCCCAGACCGCGAAGCGCGACTGACTTCACACCCTCGTGGTGGCCCTGGAGACAGTCGGGTCGGGCGAAAGGGGGGGATAGCAAAGGGGGGGTTTGAGAATCAGCTCGCGTAGCTGATTTTCCCGGCGCCTCCCGGCGCCGGAGGCGGCCATGTATCGAGGAATGGGCCCCTCGGTGGGGCCGAAACCAGCTGCATGCAGCAAATTTCGTAACCCCCCCTTTCCCAATCCCCCCCTTTCGCCCGACCCGAGACAGAAGGGGGAGATGCCCCGGGCGATCCAGGCTCGGCGGGGGCCTACTGCTTCCCCGCGGGAAGAGGCCCCCCGAGGCAGCCGCGCGTGCCCACGGCCCGTGGAAGCTTTGGTCGCCCCATCAGGGGGAGGTGGAGGAGGAGGAGGAGGAGGAGGAGGAGGAGGAGGAGGAGGAGGAGGAGGAAGAAGAGCAGGAGAGGAGGAGGAGGAGGAGGAGGAGGAGGAGGAGGAGGGGAGCAGGAGGAGGAGAGAGGAGGAGGAGGAGGAGGAGGAGAGGAGGAGGAGGAGGAGGAGGAGGAGGAGGAGGAGCACGAGGAGGAGAACCAGGAGGAGGAGGAGGAGGAGGAGCAGGAGGAAGGCAGCTAGCACAGCCCGCCAACACAGACTCGTCGGCAACCCGCGGGGGGGGTGGCCGCAGGCCTCTGGCCTGGGCGCCAGGGGGCCCCGGAAGGGCTTCACTCCAGGCCTCCGGACCTGGACCCCCGTCGTCATGATTTTTTCATGACGTCGACCCCCAGACGTTTCGACCTATTCCCCGGGACCGGTTGTTCATCCTGAGTCGCTGTTTAACGGTCCTTGGGCCCGGTAAGGGCCCCCAGATGCCGAAAATTGAGAAAAACCTCCCGTGGTGATTTTGTCATTGCTCGAGGGGGGTGTCTGGGGAGATCGCTGCGGGCCCCGGAGGATCTCCCGGAGCCTTCGGGGGTCCCCGTGGGCCTCCGAGAACCCCCCTGCGACAGCAGTGCAGCTCTGAGGCGACCGGCCCTGGAGGCGCGGAGGGCCGCCGTGGCCTCCCCCCCAGCGGGCAGCCAGCGAAAGAACGCTGCGGGGGCGCGAGGCGTCGGCCGAGGGACACCTCCGCGCTGGCCGCAGCCTTCGCTGCGCGGCCCGCGCGGCGGCAGCGGCAGCCCGCGCTGCTGGGGCCGGGGTCGCGCCCCCTCGCTCCCCGAAGGCCGCGGACCAGAAGCCACTCCACCGAGGAGCCGCTCATGCGCGCGGCCGGATTCAGTCTGGAAGTCCCTTTCCTGTCTACGATCCTGGAGGCCACCAGCATTGAGCCGAGTAGATGGAGTCGGAGGCTCGCGCCGCTTCGCCTATGTCTCGGCGACGTTGGCGATGAATCGGCGACGCTGGCGTGGAGAAGACTGGGCTCCGCATCGAGCCGCACCGCCGATGCCTCCTCCTCCTCCTCCTCCTCCTCCTCCTCTTCCTCTTCCTCTTCCTCTTCCTCTTCCTCTTCCTCTTCCTCATCATCATCATCATCATCATCATCATCATCATCATCATCATCATCATCATCATCATCATCATCAGCATCATCATCATCATCATCATCATCATCATCATCATCCTGCTCCTCCTGCTCCTCCTGCTCCTCCTGCTCCTCCTGCTCCTCCTGCTCCTCCTGCTCCTCCTGCTCCTGCTCCTGCTCCTGCTCCTCCTCCTCCTCCTCCTCCTCCTCCTCCTCCTCGTCATCGAAAGACGAAGCAGGCGCGCGTGGCATGCACTGATTGCAAGGACCTCGGGTTCACGACGTGCAGTTGACACGCGTATCAGTGCGGTGGCACGTGCAACAGAGATTTGTCGGAGTCGGCGTTGTCCGTGGCGGGTGGCAACGCCGCGCGCACCAAAACGGACGGCACCGTGAAGTGCAAATCATGCAACTGATGTCCGCCGGATTCCGTGGAAGTGGGACCAGGGAGGGCAAACGAACAATATGGGAATGCGGATGCCCAGAAGGAGGATGAGGAGGAGCAGGAAGACGAGGAGGAGGATGAGGAGATTGACGGGAGGAGGAGATTGAGAAGGAGGTTGAGGAGGAGGAGGAGGAGGAGGCGGAGTCTCCAGGCGTGTGAGTGTCTTTCCCCCTCCCTACTCCCCCCTGCCAGGGCCCCGCAACTGGAACTTCGACCCCCCCACGCATGACCGCGCACGACCCCGACACGAACGCAGCACGGGAGGCATTAAGGGCATGACAACAGGCAAGAGGGCCCCAAGATGCTTCCATGATGGTTCGATTGGGCCCGCGTAGCCCAAAACTTGTTCCCAGACGCCCAAGATGGTCTCCAGACGCCCTAAGAGGCCTCGAAGCGGCCTCCCAGAAGAACCCTAAGAGGCAAAAGTCGTCCCATGCTTAGCAGATTCGCCACTGGGGTTTCACTACTTCCACGACGGCCCCATGGGGCCCCGAAGATCGCAACTCACGCCCAAGGGGCACCCGACAGGGCTCCAAGACGACCCGAGCAGCCCCAACGACGGGGCAAGAAAGCCCCAGGACGGCCCCAAGAAAGGGCCCAGAGCAGGCTCCCGGGCGAAAATGTCGAGCCTTCGGCCACCGCACGCCTCCACCAGAATCGGCCGCGCTGGCAGCCACGCCTCGCCCTTCCATGCGCGGCAGACGCGGCAGGCACACTCATCCTCCTCCTCCTCCTCCTCCTCCTCCTCCTCCTCCTCCTCCTCCTCCTCCTCCTCCTCCTCCTCCCCCTCTTCCTCCTTTTACGTTGCGCTAAGTTGAAGCCTCGGATTGTAGCCTTCTTCTTCATATTGTTCCTCCTCCTCCTCCTCCTCCTCCTCCTCCTCCTCTTCGACTTCCGACCTTACGACGTCTTTCTCCAATTTCACGCCTTGGAGGCCATGGTCGAACCCTTGGGCCATCAGAAACGGATCCTGCATGAAGAACGACGCTCTGGGGGCGCTGGACTCGTCGCGAACGGCCGCAACAGGCCCGAGCTCTGACCCGAAAACCAGATCCAGACTTTTCCTCCGCCTCTTCTTCTTCCTCCTTCTCAATATCCTCCTCCCTCGATCTCCTACTCCTCCTCTTCCTCCAATCCCTCCTCCCTCGATCTCCTACTCCTCCTCCTCCAACTCCTCCTCCTCCTCCTCCTCCTCCTCCTCCTCCTCCTCCTCCTCCTCCTCCTCCTCCTCCTCCTCCCCCTCCTCCTCCTCCTCCTCTCTCCTCCTCCTCCTCCTCCTCCTCCTCCCTCCCTCCTCCTCCTCCTCCTCCTCCTCCTCCTCCTCCTCCCCTCCTCTCCTCCTCCTCCTCCTCCTCCTCCTCCTCCTCCTCCTCCTCCTCCTCCTCCTCCCCCCCCCTCCTCCTCCTCTCCTCCTCCTCCTCCTCCTCCGCCTCCTCCTCCTCCTCCTCCTCCTCCTCCTCCTCCTCCTCCTTCCTCCTCCTCCTCCTCCTCTCCTCTTCTTCTCTCCTCCTCCTCCTCCTCCATCTCCTCCTCCTCCTCCTTTCTCCTCCTTCTCCTCCCATTCCTCCTCTTCTTCCTCTCCTCCATCTCCTCCTCATCCTCCTCCTCCCCTCCCGTCCTCCTCCTCCTCCTCCTCCTCCTTCACCTCCTCCTCCTCCACCTCCTCCTTTTCCTCTCCCCCCCCCTCCTCCCTCCTCCTCCTCCCTCCTCCTCCTCCTCCTCCTCCTCCCATTATTCTTCTTCTTCTTATTATTATTCTTATTATTCTTCTTATTAGTATTCTTCTTAGTCTTCTTAGTATTATGATTCTTCTTCTTTTAGTATTATCATTATTATTAGTATTATTACTACTTATATTATTATCAGTATTCGTACTATTTTTCTCAGTATTAATTTTAATATTATTATTATTATTATTATTAGTATCCTTGTTGATTCGTATTACTCCTCCTCCTCGTTTCCTCCTCCTCCTCCTCATCCTCCTCCCCCGCCTCCTCCTCCTCCTCCTCCTCATCATCATCATCACCACCACCATCAGCATCAGCATCATCAGCATCACCACCACCATCATCATCATCATCATCATCATCATCATCATCACCACCATCAGCATCAGCATCATCATCATCATCATCATCATCATCATCATCATCATCATCATCATCGTCATCGTCATCACCAACATCATCATCATCATCATCATCATCAGCATCATCATCATCATCATCATCATCATCATCATCATCATCATCATTATCATCATTATCATCAGCATCAGCATCATCAGCAGCATCAGCATCAGCATCAGCATCAGCATCAGCATCAGCATCAGCATCAGCATCAGCATCAGCATCAACATCATCATCATCATCATCATCATCATCGTCGTGACCCCTCTCCCTGGCTTCCTGCTCCTTCTCATCCCCCGTGTGAGCACCCGCAATCCCATATTGTTCGTTTGCCCTCCCTGGTCCTACTTCCACTGGCTCCGGCGGACATCAATCGCACGATTTGCACTGCACGGTGCCGTCCATTTTGGTGCGCGCGGCGTTGCCACCCGCCACGGACAACGCCGACTTCGACAAATCTTTGCACGTGCCGCTGCACTGACACGCGTGTCAACTGCACCCGTGCACGCCGTCAACGTGCTCCTTCTCCTGATGTTTCGTGTTCGAGAGAGCTCCCCTGCACGCCGCGCACGCCAACGTTCGCTCACGCCGCTTTGCCGCGTCGGCCACGCCTTTCGCGGTGACCCCCTGTTTGTCACATGCCCCGCAAACCACTCCGGCTCATTTCGCAGACCGATGATGCCTCACTTGTTTCCGGTTCACACGGCCCGTGTCCCAGAAAGTCTTCCCGCAACCTGGCGTACAGCACGTCAGCGGTTTCGATTCCGCCTCTGCTTTCCGTTTGCGACTGGTTGGCTCCAGCGCCAACTTCTAACGATCCCCGAGCAGGCCCGAGGCTGTCTAAGGTTGTTTCCAAAGAAGCCTCCTGGTGACGAAAATTGCAAGATGGCACCCAAGACGGCCAGCATGGCCCAGTGCGGGGCCCAGACATGTTTCAAGGAGTCGGCGGACATGGCGCCAGCTTGCATGCGGGCAAGATTACTATCCCTATCCTCTGCGTCTTGCAGCTTCGGGCCCACTTCCCCAGAAACTAGAGTCGCAGTGGATGTGGATAAACATCTCGCCCATAGAGGCTCGAACATTTCATCCAGATCCGCTGCGACTCGGCGTTGTGGCGCCCCGTCCGAGAAAGTCCAAGACGCAGTGGACGTCGACATCTGGCCATCGCTCGGACGCCCATTTCCTGCGGTGTTTTCGGTTTGTTGCGTGGTTTTTTCGCCAAATGATCAAGGATGCTCCTCGATGATCCTCGCCGAAGGAAAAATGCACACGTCCGAGCGATGCCAAGACATAGATCTCGCTCGCAGGCTTCGAACCTCTGTAACGCCCCGAGCCTCGTCCGCGGCGCCGCCGCCAGCGCCGCCGTCCTCGGCGGCGGAGGGGTGCGCCCCGCGGGGCGGGGCCGAGCGGCCCGAGGGAGCCCCCGCCGTGGCGTCGCCGCGCGCCCCGCTGGGGGGCCCACGGTGGCGCTGGCTCTGCAGGGACCCGCGGGCGCGCTCGGCGCGCAGCGGGCAGGAGGAGGAGGAGGAGGAGGAGGAGGAGGAGGAGGAGGAGGAGGAGGAGGAGGAGGAGGGAGGAGGAGGAGGAGGAGGAGGAGGGAGGAGGAGGTGAGGACGGGGAGGCGGTTGAGGACGAGGAGGAGGAGGAGGAGGCTGAGGAGGAGGAGGAGGAGGAGGAGGAGGCTGAGGAAGGTCCAGCTGGCAGATCGATCATTTGGGAAAACCGCAACCCCAGAGGGGTGAGAGCAAGGCAAAGAGCCGTATACATCAAACGCAAGCATAGCAAGACAACGCATAGTCGGCACTATAAGACATGTCGGTGAATCGCACTAGCCCCAGCTCAGACACTTGCCCGAACATCTTGCTCACACCACCGTCGTCGAGAGGATTCGATACGGCATCATAATAAAGATCACGAGCAGCGTTCACAGCTAAGGCACGAAGACCGTGGCCTGGCCTGGATGCGAACTCTCCGAAGTGCAGCAGGCTCTTCCGAAGGCGTTGCTGAGGGAGCACTGCCACTCGTCGGTGTCCGTACCATAGAACGGTAGTTCGGTGGTACACGCAGCAACGAAACTCAACCAAAACTCCGAGAGCAAGTGGGCAACGCCCACCGCGAACTTCAAGCTGGCCATCTGAAGATTGACGAAGTCATTCTGGCACTCGTGGCTGATGTGATCGATGGCGCTCAGGCCGGTGAAATCGATGTCGTCGCCAGTAAAGTCGATGCAGGCTTGATTATTGGAGTGAGTCAGGAACTCGTAGCCGATATCGTGGCACCTATGGTAGATATCATGGCTGATCAGATCGCGAAGCTTGCGGAGTGCCGCCAGCGTCGCGTGCTCCACGGGCTCGCACTCAGAGAGCAACAGGAAGCCGCACTCGGTGCTCACGTTAGTCTGCGTCTCCTGCCCGACCCATTCCCCATGTAGAACTGCTCGAGGCCACCATCGTGTCCAAGATTGTTCGCACACGCACCAGAAGAAAAGCTTGCACAAGACCGGGCCGACAACGAGTCGATCGCATTGAAGTCGTTCATTCCGCAGGTGGCGGCCTTGTCCTCGTCGGCGCTGTACTCCTTGTCGGAGGTGGTGTCCGACTGGTCGAAAGCGCTGGCCTCGGTCTGGCAGGTGATGTCCGCCTGGGATGTGCTGAGGTGCACGTCGCAGGTGCTGTCCATCGTGCGGTCGGCCCCGCCGTCGTGAGCGCCGAGGTGCACACGGAGCTTATGGAAGAACGATGTCGCCATCGCAGTGTTGATGTGGCGGTTGAAGCGGAAGGCGATGTCCAAGCGCTCCAAAAAACTTTGCGGTCCTCCTGGCTATGGCGTGGCGCCGAAGTGCCGCACGAGCGGCAACCGTAAGCCCTTGGTGATCACGCCCTTCATGTGAACAGAGTGGCGAGAACATAGCCCATGCAACTCAGACATGGTAACTGCTGCCGACATGTCGCTGCCGGCCATCTGTGCGCCCAACCCAACAGGGACAACAGAGAATGCCAGGCCTTGAGCCAAAAATGGCTGCGGCATAGGAGGAGGAGGAGGAGGAGGAGGAGGAGGAGGAGGAGGAGGAGGAGGAGGAGGAGGAGAGGAGGAGGAGGAGGTAGGAGGAGGATGAGGGGGAGGAGGAAACGGAGGACGAGGAGGTGAGGAGGAGGAGGAAGGAGGGGGGGGAAGGGGAGGAGGAGGAGGAGGAGGAGGAGGAGGAGGAGGAGGAGGAGGAGGAGGAGGAGGAGGAGGGAGGAGGAGGAGGCAGGAGGAGGAGGAGAGAGGAGGAGCAGGAGGAGGAGGAGGAGGAGCAGGAGGAGGAGGAGCAGGAGCCGCTGCCGTCGCCGTCGTCGCCGTCGGCCCCGCCGCCGCCGCAGTCGCCACGGGCGCCGCCCTCGGCAGGTTCTGAGCGGAGCCGGGCGGCCGAGGGCCACGGCGAGGGCGAGGCTGATGGGCGGCGAGCGGGAAGGCAGGGTAGCGGCGTGGGCACCAAGAGCCGGGACGGGCATGCGCACATCGGAGGCCCCTTGGATGGGGTCGAAGGATCGCGCCGCATCGCCAATGCATCGCCGATGTATCGGCGATGCATCGGCGACGTTGGCGTGGCGGAACACGGGCTCCACATCGAGGCGGATCGTCGATGCATCGGCCATGCGGCGCGATTCTCGGACCCCATCTGAACGGACCCGAATATGCAGTAGGAGCTCGACCACAAGAAGCCTTCCACAAGAAGTCCAACCCTGAGACCTCAGAACGTCCATTGACTTTTGGTGTGGGAGCGTCGCACATTCCATAGCAAAAAGCCATCAAAGCCCAAGCAATCCAGGGCACCCTGGAGGCAAGCAGGGTGTTTCTGCGCAAAGATTTCCACTGTACGGCTGGATTCACGTGTGGAGCACAAGGAAGCCCACTCACGAGCAGCGAACCGATCCATGTCCACGCCCTCGCGGTCCAGATTGCGGGGCACGATCCCGCGGATGGGCGGGCGCACGGATACGTTCCGCGCGGGGCATCTGCGAAGAAACGGCCCGGAACCCTGGGGGGGCCCGGCTGGCATCAACAGGGCACGGAAACGCTCTCGCCCACGACGCGCGCGCGCGCTGGATACACCTGCGGAAGCCCTGCGCGCTCGGCCGCAGAGAGGCCGAGGGCCGCACAGACGTCTGGCCACACGTGTACCCGCGCCACGTGCATCCAGCTTGCTGGTAAATCCTTCTCCCTCCCCAGACCCCCTCGAATAATAAAAGAATCACGACGGCGGGTTTTTCACAATGCTCGGCCTCTGAGGGCCCTTGCCGGGCCTCAGGACCGACAGATAACGACTCAGCATGAAACACCAGTCCCGGAGAATAGGTCGAAACCTCTGGGGGTCGACGTCGTGAAAAAATCATAACGTCGGGGGTCTGGGTCTGAACCTTCTCCTCCGACCTCGCACTTGTTCGAGGCGCCGGCCTCGGGGGATCCCGACCCCCTCTCCCTGAGGCTGGTTCTCCATCCTGCGCCGTTTCCGGGGACTCGGGCCGGGACACCACCTGCAGGTGCTAGGGGGCCACATGCGAACCCTACCCCTACCCCCCACGATTTCTGAGGGGGAGGGTGGGGTTCACTTCGTTCGGGAGCTCCCGAGCGAAGTGAACCCCACCCCCCCCTCAGAAATCGTGGGAGGTAGGGGTAGGGTTCGCATGTGGCCCCCTAGGTGCCCAAGAGCGCGCAGAGCAGAAGCGTGCCGTCACGATCTCCGCCCTGCGCCAGCCAGGTTCCTGAGGGAACGATGGCGACGACGAACGATCGGCGGCGAGCCTGGGGGGGGGGAGGAGGAGGAGGAGGAGGAGGAGGAGGAGGAGGAGGAGAAGGAGGAGGAGGAGGAGGAGGAGGAGGAGGAGGAGGAGGAAAGAGGAGGGGGCGGGCCTTCTCGGAAGGCTCGGAAGTCCCCCAGTCCTCTTAAAAAGTTGTCTCTGAGCCTTCCCCCTGAGACACAGGAGACCTCCCGCAAGGCCGGGGGACGTCTGAGAAGCCCCGCCGCCTTCTGAGAAAGCCTGCTCCTTCTCACCTCCCCCCCGCGCTCGCCGCCGAACCCAAGCACTAGCGAGGCACGGAATTATCCACATCCACGGCCTGTGTACAGCCGGCCCGTATCATTGGCCATGGAAGGCCATGGAAGGCCACGCCGTGCTTTTCTCGAGCGGGGCGCGGCCAGCGAGAGTGGCCAAGGATGGACCGAGGACGCAAGGATGCAAGGGTACTCCGAGTATATTAATAAGCGTCGGGGGGCGTCACCCCCACCGACAGCCCCACATCGACCCCCGTCGCGGGCAGCCTCCGCGCGCCGAAGGCGCTCCGACTCCCGTCGCGGCGCGACGACGAGGCGAGGTTGACCCCCGTCGGGGGGGTACCCCCCCCACGCTTACCAAGAAACCCAGGGTACCCTTGGGAACACTGCCAGTTCCTTACCATGCGAGTCGACTGTAGCCCAATGACCTGGAACCTCAGGGGGCGGTGAACGCGGACAGGTCCGGGCCCTGGTCCGCATCCACCGGCTGCCGCCGAGGTCCCCGAAGTTCGATCTCTCCCAGACGGCGGTTCGGGCGGGTGGTAATGGGGGGCGACCCGAAGGGAGGGGTGAAGGAAAAGGCCCTAAAGGACCTCTTTAGGGTCTGTTTCTTCAAAAGAGGCCCTTCAGAGCCCCTTCAGGGCCTGTTTCTGCACCCCCCATTTGGGTCAACCCCCATTGCCACCCGCCCGAGTGGTTATTCGGGAGCACGAGTTGCCGAGATCGCAGCTGTCCACACCTCTCCCGGGGAGCGCTCTGGCCAAGATCCCGAGACGAAGCCGGTCGTGGCGGCGAGAGCCTCCCACCTGGACGCCCGAAGGGGACACGTAAAAAAGGGCACAATGCCCAACAACAAACGTTGTCCAGAACTGGTAGCGGCCCCTGTTGGGCAGGGGGCTTCCTGTCTTCAGTGCACGACGTCCGCGGCGGCGTGGACGGCGAGTCCTGTTCAAAATGAGCAGGAACTGCTGTTGGGCATCGCAGCCGATCGCCCAACAGGAGTAGAAGGAGGAGGAGGAGAAGACTCCCCAGCCTGGCCCCACCGATCCCAAGAGGGAGTCCCAAGGACCTCTCGTCGCCGTCGCCGTTCTCCCTCCTCCTCCTCCTCCTCCTCCACCTTTTCCTTCTCCTCCTCCTCCTCCTCCTCCTCCTCCTCCCTCCTCCCTTCTCCTCCTCCTCCTCCTCCTCCTCCTCCTCCTCGTCCTCCTCCTCCTCGTCCTCCTCCTCCTCCTCCTTCTGAGTACTGCCCGCAGTGGGGTGCCTCCCAAGTGGGGTCCGAGGATCGCGACGCATCGCCGATACATTGGAGACTTCGGCGGCGTGGAGAAAGTGAGGCCCGCGTCGAGCCGCATCGCCGACGCATCGGCGATGCGGCGCGACCCCCCGACCCCAACTGCTCGGGCCCTATGGGGGAGACCTGAGCGCATGCGGTCTGCCGCCGGCTTCCAGTCCTGCAATCCAAACTTAGGGCTGACCCGAACATCCTCTGCGAGCATGTGTTGCCGAACCTTTAAGGAACCTTTCGTTACCGAGCGGCCGTGGACAAGGCCCTTGGGGCCCCAGAGTTCGCGAGCAGATGGTTCTGAACTGCTGACGAGCACGAGCATGTTCTGCTTTGCCCTGCCGAGCGCAGTGATTGTCAGGCACGCCTGGGCCCAACACCAGGATCGCGGAGCAGCTCCCGGCGAGGCACCTGGACGCGCGGCAAGCGCGCAGGTGGCGCGCAGGGGAGGTGCGCAGGAGGCGCGGCGACGCGCGGACGCGCAGACGCAGCGCGCGCGCACGCGGGCGGCCCCGTCCTGCAGCAGCGGCTCCGCCTCCACCGCGTCGGGGGACCCGCGCCGGGGCACGCGGGCGAGCTGCAGGGCGCCTCTGTTGGGGGGGGGGGGGGGGGGAATCCCCGCGGCGGACGGCTGCGCCGGCGCGGGCGGCGGCTCCCGCGCCTGGAGGCAAAATGTGCATCGGGGCGCACTGAGCGAAGTTTATGGAGCTGTCGGCACGGCGATGCACCCAGGGCCCCTGGACGGGGACAGCGGTAGCCAGGACTCCGAGAACCACACCCGCAGGAGAGAACGAGCTACTGGGCATGCTATCGCCCCACGGCCGCAGCGTCCTCGGGCGAGCCAGTGGCCCCCCTATGGGACATCGTTTGCCCATTTGTTTCTGGTGGCGGTCGTTGCCCGGAGTCGGTGACGTTAGGTCGGGCGTGTCCCCCTACAGGCGGATCTTCGACGAAGAATCGAAAATAGTCGAACAAATTCCAAAATGGTCAGAAATAGTCGGATGGTACCGGAGAAAAGACCCAATCGGATGGTACCGGATGATAGTCGGATGGTGCTGTAGGGCAAAGGGGGCTACAGGGCTATAGGGCTATAAGGCTCTGGGGCTATAGTGCTATAGTGCTATAGGGCTATAGGGCTATAAGGCTAGACGGCTACAAGGCTATAGGGCTATAGGGCTGTAGGGCTATAGGGCTATAGGGCTATAGGGCGATAGGGCTATCAGGGCAATAGGGAAATAGGGCTATTTGACTATAAGGCTATAGGACTACAGGGCTGTAGGGCTAAAAGGCTATAGGGGCTATAAGGCTACAGGGCTATAGGGCTACCGGGCACCCGGGCGTGCCGCCGAAATCGGCGCCACAGTGAACCTAGGACCCCTACAGAGGCAAGCTCTAATTGGGGAAAAATCGTCCCCGGACTATTTTTGACTATTTTTGAATATTCCTCCTGTAGAGGGACGTGCCCGACTTAACGGTAACGCTTGGGCGGTGTGGGACACGTCGGGGCGGGGGTGCGCTGTGATCGCCATAATCTGCGTGCGAGCACCAGCATGTGGGGGGGGGGTCCAACCCTCACCCCTACGTGCCATCGTTATTGTTAATCGGGGATGGGGGGGGTAGCGACCGTCATGCTTAGGTCGGGCATGTCCTTCTACGGGCGGGTTTTGGAAGACAAATTAAAGATTGTTAGAGAAATTCAAAAATAGCCCTCCAATAATCGAAACATCGTCATCAAACTATGTCTGGATGATTCTTGAATGCTCCACCTGTAGAAGGACAGGCCCGACGTAACGTTACGCGCCAGAGGATGAACACACAGTCTCCAGAGACCTGCCTCATGTGTAGCCGGCCGCCGCCCACAGCTCGAGAAGCCTGCGAGGATGGGCCCCAGGGAGGCGGCGAGGAGGCGACGAGACGACGGCGGCGTCGGCCGCGGGCCGCCCCTCCCCGCGCCCGGGCGCACCGTCGACGCGGGCCCCGAGCCGGGCAAGGCGGTGCACCCACCGCGGGATGTGGCCTCCAGCGCGCCCCACAACGCCGCAACGCGACGTCGACGTCGACGGTCGCCGCCGTCGTCGCCTCCGCCGCTGCCTTCCTCGTTGGCGTCGGCCCCGTTCCTGGTCGCTGTCGGCGTCCTCGCCGTCCTCCTGCCCCTGCCTTCCCGGCCCTCGTGCACGCAGGCGTCGTTTCCAAGGTGGCCCCATGAGATGCAGAATCTGACGCCAGTAAATGAGTGCCGATGGACTCAGGACGAGGGACTCGTGGACTCTTACGAACGTGAAAGGTGGATGGACTCAGGCGTCTTTGAACCCCAAAAGCCCACCAGTCTCTGGCAGCAAAGTAAGCGGGATCTCCACGCGTATCCCTGATTACTGTGCTCTCCACCTCCCCATTTCTGCTTCTTTATAAATCACTTCTCCTTGACGCACCCCGGGGACAATCGGAAGGGCGACCCTGGCGTTTCGCCTGAGACGCCCTTACTTATGATCCTGAAGCTCCAAAATTGGCAACAGTTCCACACACTAAGGCGGGGCACTTCCAAAATGTGACTCTCGCCTTAGCGCCGCGCACATTCGTCTTACAACAATTGGGAGGATTCACGCGTTGGGGCGGTCGTTTTCAAAATCTGGGTGTCTCCTTTGCGCGAGCACACTCGTCTTAAACATGTGCAAAAGCTTCGCGGATTGAGGGCGGGTGGTTTTCAAAACGTGACTCACTTTTTCCGCGCCCACTCGTTTCAACAAATGGCAAGGGTTCCGCGAGTTGAGGGCGGGCGGCTTTCCAAATGTGGCTCTCCATTGAAACAAATTGCAAGACCTTCATGGATTGAGAATAGCTCCTGTTCAAAATGTGGCTCTCGCCTCCGCGCCGCGAACACTCGCGTGAAACATGCGCAAACATTTTCAGGGGCCTCCATGGTTACAATACCCATTCGATTCAGGATTACCAAGTTGATTCGCAGTGTTGAAGTTTCAGGAACGGTGTCAGGATCCCCAAGACGCAGCAGTCAGGTTGACTCGTGGCGTTAGAGTCCCGAGACTTGTGTTCTGGCACGCTTCAAGATCTTCAATCGGTTTATTCCCAACGCGGCACTTCCCTCAGTGGAAATGACACCTTGTATGGGGCCTGTGAAGAGGGAGCTTGGAGGGAGGGCTTATTCCAACATCGTCAATGAGTCTTGGGTTTGCGCTGATCGTGGTCGTCGTCCTACTCCTCCCCCTCCTTCTCCTCCTCCTCCTCCTCCTCCTCCTCCTCCTCCTCCTCCCTCTCCGCCTCCTTCTCCTCTTCCCCCTCCTCATCCCTGAACCTGACCCCCTCGCCAACGTCCTCTCTAATCCCCCTTCCCTCCCTGTCCGTCGCTCACCCTCGACTCCAATCGTCCGCCACGCAACTCCTCCTTCCCCATCCTGATCATGCCCCTCACTCCTTCCACCATCCCTCCTCTTGGTGCCTCGTCTCCATCCTAAGCCCCATCGAGTCGTCCATCAGACTCATTTTCGTCCATCATACGTTCCCTCCGCCCGTTGCTCTCCTCGTTCCCGTGTTGCTCGCTCTCTTGTCCTCCAGATCCGCCGGTGAACGCCATCCTGCTGCTATCTGCTCTTGTGTCCTCCGCCTCCTCCTCCTCCTCCTCGAACGTACTCCAAGAGCCAGTAGCGTCATCACTCGACCTGCTCATGCTGAAACGGACGGCGGGAAGCAGGGCGCGGTTGTGTCCTCCTCATCCCCCTTCCTGCTCTCTCCCCCTCCTCGGCCAGCCTCGCCGCGACCCTGCTCGCAGTCCTCCTCGCCCCCCTTCCCTCTGCTCGTCCACAGCACTAACCACCTCCACCTCACCCTCCTCCTCCTCCTCCTCCTCCTCCTCCTCCGCGAGGAGCCCGTGCGATCGCAGGCAGTATCCCTGACGGTCCGGCGGTCTGCCGTGCCCGCCGCGAGCGGGCCCTGGTTGGCCTGCTGCTGGCCTGCATGTGCGCGCGCCGTGCGCCCCTCTGCTCAGAGGCCCCGCTCTGGCACCGCTTCGCGGCCATCCGGATTCCGAGCTCCTGCACGCCCCCCCCTTCGGCGGCGAGCGAGGGGGGGGAAGTGAGAAGGAGAAGGCCTTCTCAGAGGGCGACGGGGCTTCTCAGAAGCATCCGCGCCTTCTGAGAGGTTATCTTTTTCAGAAGGCCAGGGGACCTCTGAGCCTTCTGAGAAGGCCCGCCCCCTCTCACTTCCCCTCCTCGTCCGCCACCGACCCCTGGCAAAATAAAATGTCACTTTGCAGGTCGTGCCGGAGAATCTGCGGGGGGGACTTCCCGGAAGTCCTTCACACAGGGTTCGATATCCGACGGCCCCGACAGCGGCCCCCAGAGGCCACGCACGACGAAAACCCGAGGGCGACGAACACGCAGATCGTTCGGTGGCAGCTCACGGGAGCCTCCCATATCATCGACGCTAATCGACGCTAACCGACGCTAAACCGACGCTAAGCAAGGCTAGCCGACGGTGGATCGGCGCTATCTCATCGAAACCCAGACGCCAGTCGACGCTAAACACCGAATTAAGCGGGTATACCAGGCTCCCATGATTTGCTGCCGAAACATCGACGGCTGGAGCTGCCGACTTTTCCAAGGAGCAGCGCAGCGTCGCTCTCTCCGCCCGCGCCCGCAGCACCACGGCTGCCTCGGGCAGGGCATCCGCCGCCCCCGCCGCCCCCGCACGCCCGTCCCCCCCCCCGATCGCGGGGACGGCGCTGCTCGGCGCGACGGGGCGCGGGCGATTATCTGGCGCTGCCGGGCTCTCCTCGCCGATGTACGCATTCCACCCAAGACGGGCGGAGGCGTCCGTGATCTACGAGCTATCAGGGGAGAGAGAGAGAGAGAGAGAGAGAGAGAGGTAGAGAGAGGGTCGAAGCTTCAGCTGGAGGCTGTTCGCTCGATCACTCTAAGACACGCATTCCATCCAAGACGGGCGGAAGCGTCCGTGATCTGCGAGCTAGCGCCGTCCCCCGCACGCCCGTGCTCGCCCCCCTTGATGATGATTATGACGATGGTGATGATGGTGATGATGCTGCTGATGCTGATGCTGATGCTGATGCTGATGCTGATGCTGATGATGATGATGATGATGACGATGATGATGATGATGACGATGATGATGATGATGATGATGACGATGATGCTGATGATGACGATGATGATGCTGATGATGCTGATGCTGATGCTGATGCTGATGATGATGATGATGATGACGATGATGATGATGATGACGATGATGATGATGATGATGATGATGACGATGATGCTGATGATGACGATGATGATGACGATGATGCTGATGCTGATGCTGATGCTGATGCTGATGATGATGATGATGATGACGATGATGATGATGATGACGATGATGATGATGATGATGATGATGATGATGACGATGATGCTGATGATGACGATGATGATGGTGATGATCCAAGACGGGCGGAAACGTCCGTGATCTGCGAGCTAGCGCACCCCCTGCACGCCCGTGCTAGCCCGCCCCTCCCCCCTCCGATCGCGGGGAGGGCGCGGCTCGGCGCGACGGCGCGGAGCGAGGTGCCGCGGGGTAGGCGCAGCGGCGGCCATACGCCAGATCTTCGAGAGCAATCCAGGCAGGGGGACCTAGAACATAATATTCAGATATTCGGGACATTCAGATATTCAAGTATTCAGATATTCAGATATTCATAATATTCAAATATTCAAGTGCTTTCGAGACCAATCCAAGAAATCGTCAGATCTTCGACTCAGTCGGACCTAGGACAGAATAACATCCTCCGAGAACATGGGATCCTCCGCCGCTCAAACCAAACACGCACACACAACATCCAAGGGTACCCTCCCCAGGATGCGCAACGACATCCAACGAACACGAGGAACACTAGCGCACCCTCGCCGAAACGACCTCCATCGTTTGCCTCGGTCCGACCTCATGCGGTACGGCGATCGTCGATCCGTGAACTCTGGTCGTCCCCGTGGCACCCAGTAGCGCGCCCAATCGCGTGCAGCGCGGACATACCGCAACTCCCTCACGTGGCGCCACTTGGGCACTTTGGGCCGCTATTGGGCGCTGTTTGAACGCTGGTTGGCACTACTGGACGCGGGCAGTGTTTAGCGCTGGTGTGTTCTACTCGCCAATATACACTCAATCGACGACGGGCGGAAACTTCCGTGATTTACAAATTATCAGTGAGAGAGAACGAGAGAGAGAGAGAGAGAGTCGGAACTGGAGCTGGAAGTCGTTCGCTCGCTCACTCCAGGATCGGTCAGCATCGAAACGAAAAGTAAGATCGATTTGGAATGCGAGTCGGATCGGTTCGTACTGGCACGGGGTCGGAATCGAATCGGGTTGCCAAGACGCACAACAACGCCATGCAAGCATCGGGCCGCATCGGACCACTGTTAAATCGGCATCGAGACGACTCGAACTGGCCAACACAAGCTGTCAACTCGGATCGATGGGTTCGAAATTCGCCCTGTCATCCCCTATTCGAACTGGGTTCGTTATGGCCGCATCCAAGATTCGTGATCTTGGCTGCGACAATTATACGTCCGGGTGTTCCCTCAGCCGGGAGCGCACATACCACACACGACCCCTTCGGCCTTCTCTCAACAGAGCGAACACGGGCGGAGGGAGTCGGAGAGAAGGAAGACAAGAGATACACGCGATGGAAACGACGATCCGTCGCAGTCCCTCCTGGAACGGCGAAGCGTGGTATAATAACAAGCGCTGTCTGGTAGGATTGTGCAAATCCTGCAAGGGCCCCCCTCTCCTCACGCAGTGGCACGAGCACCTGTACACGCAGGTCGGAAGAAGTAGGTAGAAGCATGAAACAAGAAGGCGGATGAAGTAGACTTGGTTGTTCGGGCCTGCTTGAATAATAGCAAGCAACAAGCATAACATATCGGCTCTTGAAATAGGAAAGCTCTTGAAATAGATCGGGTTCTGGGGATCCAGCAATACTGACTTTTAACGACCCGCGTGTGCCCCCTCCTGAAGTTCCTTGGGCGGCCCGCAGCTTCCCGGGGGGGGGGCTCCGGAAGGCTTGCAGGACAACTCAGAGAGACACCAAGAAAATCGCCAAAATAGCTCAACGTTGCACCACTGTGCAAACAGCAGCCTTCAAGAAAACCCAACACACGCGCGTAAGGAGCCACGAGGGGCTTCCGCACCAAAGAAAAGACCAGGATGCTTTCCAGGAGGGCCGACATCATTAAAACACGCATCCGAGCTTCGTGATTGTTTGAACGTGTTGTGTTTGCTGGGCCTCTCGGCTGAAGATAAGCTGAAGAGGGCCTCGGAGGTGCCAAGAGAAACCAAAATGCTCAATGAAGGTCTCCAGAACTGTTCGGTCTGTCTGTCGGCTGGGGCTGTCAGCTTCCCGTCTTCTGGATGGCTCAACGAGAAAATTGTCACATGTCACATGGTTCCTCTTCGTCTGCTTCCTCCTCATTCTCACTTTCCTCAGCCTCCTGCTCCGCCCCATGACTGCCTCTCGGAATCCCAAAACAGCCCCCAGACTACGGACGTGTCATATTCTGTAACTTCAGGGGCGTTGATCCAACAGTCGTCACACAAAAAACAAGGCAGGATGAAGGGGGAGAAACGGAGATGAGGAGGGCCAGTTGGGCTGTGGATGGATGAAACTATTATGTTGTATGTGATGCTGTTGCGCTTTTGTTTCAGTTTATTTGTTTTGCTTTTGTTGTTGGTTTTTTATGGTTTCTTGGATTGGTGAAGACATTCTGCCCGGACGAGACGACGCCGAGGAGAGAAATACCTACTGGCACCATCCCGACGAGACGCGACGGCACTCCACGGGGGCACGATGGCCTCCTGAGTGCCACCTCGAACACTCGCAACCCCGACTGCTGATAGGGGAACGAAGCACGACATCAACATAAAAACTCGGAGGTGCCTGGCGACGCCCCCCTGGCGGCGCCTCCGGCGCCGCCCCTGGCGCGCCAGGGAGGGGGGTCCAGCGCCGATCCAAGAAATTCGCGCGGACCTCCGAGTTTTCATGTTTAACGTTATGTAATTCTTCGTTCCCCTAGCTGAGTCGGCACGGTGGCAGGGCTTGCCGCAGGCAGCTGGGCACTGCTGCGGGAAACAGCTTGGGCACACTTCCCCTCGGCTTCTCAAAAGTACCCAGAATTCCCGTGGCTCCCGTGGCCCTCGGGAAATACTCCCCCCCGTGGGACGCCTGCAGGTAGACCAGCCTCTTCCTTTGATGTGCCAGCTGCAGCAACAGCATGAATAGTGGCAGTGGCCACTTCTTAGGGGGAGTGAGTTCGAGTAGAGCAACGCACACCAATACAGCGACAACGACCCGACGACGCAGACGAGGCGCGCCCTTGCGGCAACGAGGAGAAGCTCAATGCCGAATGGCAACACTAAAAAAAATACCAAACGTCCCAACAAACTGCCGCCAGCCCCTCTTCCTCCGCTGACTTCACCCTCCCGCACACATCCATCTTCGCCCCATTTTTCGAGTCCTCCTCCATTCTGTCCTTGCGAGGAGATGCATGAATTGCTGCATCACGTATCTGACCCCGTCCGACGCATTACATCTGTCACTAGCGGTTCCCCTGCCACACCACTCAAACACAAAAGCTTGGGGGAATGGCCTACTCCGAGGCGCTGGCAAAGCTCGTCCGCGAAATGGCCTCATCAGTCGAGCGTTCGCATTTCTGTTCACGCAGGCGCATACGTGCGAAGGTGAGCCAGTCGAACATGCATGAGTTGCTTGGCGCATGGCATCACCGCGATCTCAACCTCAGATGCAAGATTGCGACCAACACACACACACACACTCTGCAACTGCTGAGATGCGTGATCTAGCGTCGTTTGAAATGTTGTCAAGGATGCGGCAACGATCTGCGTCTGCACATGAACCAGTAATGGCTGGCCCGACGATTGGGCAAAGCAAGACGCGGGCACGATGGCAATCGATCGCCCAGATAGCGCCACCCACGTGCTGTAGATTGATGCCATCTTGAACGTCCCGACGTCTCATCCTCATCCCATCCTGCGCCTGCATCTCAAGCCTTCGCCTGCTCACCCCGCCCGCGACTTTGACATCGCCCACCTTTTCCTCAGCTTTCACCTGCGCCTGCAAACTCACAGTTTCCCTCCTTGTCCCTTCTTGATCTGCAACCTTCCACGTTTTCCTCCCAAAAAGAAGGCTATCTTTTCACTGCACGGCGCTTGCCCCCGTGGCCCGTCGCCGGTCGCAAATGCATGGAGTAGACAACGGTACAGCCTTCAACATGCCTGCGAAGCGTCGCTGGACGCCTATTAGCCCTACGCAACCGCATCCCGCGGCAATTGTCTCCTGTAGGGGTCTAGCACGCGCCTGCAAGGCCGCCTGCGACGACCCCTACACGACTGTCAGCGGTGATGCGAACCGTGCACCTGATGTGTATGTCTAACCCCCCACACACCAATGTAAACATCTACGCCTGGTTCTGTCTCCAGCATTTCGTTCCTATATCTGAAAAACGTGCATGTTGTGCTTCCAATGCGACAGATACTTGCAGGCATCTCTAATGGCAACAACTGCTCATGTAATGTTGTATCACTTTGCTCCCTCGTGCACCGCAATCTTTGCAATGCGCAACGGCGCTTTGCGTCAACAATCAAAACACTGATATGAATGTGCTCAAAAGTCATGAGAAGGAGAGTAGCCATAGACACTCTAAGGCACTACTGTCTCTACGAAGCCTTTGCCGACGACTGCCTGGAGTAAAAAGGGCCTACGCAGCTGGTGACGGCAGAGAGCGAGTCCGAGATAGCGTGCAGGCGACTACGCTGCGGAAGCGGGGCGGCCATGTCGTCCTCGGGCCACGCGACACCATGCTCCTCGAGATTGGCGGCGCGGAGCGTCAATAAGTGAGGTCTTCCCAAACCACTATGACTCGTTGACAGTCAATCGACGCACAAGCGCCTAAGACGTACACAATTTCAAAACAAATGCCCGAACAACCATGACCACACGCGAACCCTCCGGCTAGCACAGCGGGGTCGTCCAGTAGGTGTCCCCCGCACCAATCTCGGTACTTCAACTACTGGGCCCTGCGACGTGGGGCCCCAGGGCGAAGAAGGCCTGACCGATGCAAATTCGGCCTGGCAGGCCTTCAGTGCTGATGGCTCGATTCACCACGGCTCGACTTTCCTGACCCTGCCCCCCATACCCGCCTCAGGAGGTAAGACGAAGCCAGGACGAGGACACATTCGGGTGAGGACACATCGAGAATCTTTGAGATCCGGCGGCTCTGGAAGAGGTCTCGGGCGCCGCGGCCTTCTCAGAGCGTTCCGGAACGATCTTGTGAGCGTTCGGGCACGCTCTTCGGGGGCGGCCAAGAGGGGGGCGTCCAAGAGGGGGGTGCGCAGATCATGGCCGGCTGCATGTGCGCGGCCAAGGGGGGGCCAGGGACGTATTGGAAAAAAGAAGAGGCGCCATGACATCTGGGGAGACATCATGGCCCCCGCCATGAGAACTCCCCCCCCCAGTCATCACCCCCCTCGTCGCCGCCCCCGAGCTCTGGAGCAGCCTCATCCCCGCCCTGGCCCGGGCCGCTCCGCCCCGCCTCGAGAGTAGAGACACTCCACCGCGCACCCCCGACCACGGCGACAGCTGCCGACGACGACGAGGCGGCCTCGGCGCCCTCGGCCCGCCCCTGCGGAGCCCACCTGCCCTCCCGCCCTGCACCGGCACCCTCTGGGCCCGGCCACCGCGGGAGACGGGCCTAGAGAGAGAGCACTGCGTGGGCCCGGGGCCCCACGGGGCTCTCCGCACGGACCAGCTGCTCTCGAGGGTCCCCAGAACGGTGCGGCGACAGAACGTGCGGTGGCCTCGAACTCCCGAGAGACCGCGTCGCGCGGTCGGTCTCGGCGGCGAGCGGGGGGGGGAAGTGAGAAGGAGAAGGCCTTCTCAGAAGGCGGCGGGACTTCTCAGAAGCCCTCGCACCTTCTGAGAGGTGTTCTGTCTTCGGGGAAGGCTTAGGAAACTTCTCAGAAGGCTGGTGGGCTTCCGAACCTCCTGAGAAGGCCTTCTCCTTCTCACTTCCCCCCCTCGCCCGCCGCCGAAAAACGGTGCGAAGACAGAGCGTGCCGTGGCCCCGAACTCCCGAGACACCGCGTCGCACGGTCGGTCCGAAGTCACCGCACGGTCTTGGCACCCTGGAGGCCCCAGTCGCCCGAGAGACACCCTCGGAGAACGGCCCGCGCCCACAAGACCACGCGCGGTCCCCCGGGGACCCCACGGACTCGCCCGCAGCGCTGGCGAGGGGCAGCGACAAGGGGGGTTTGGCACAGGCGGGGAAAGCATCGACCCCGAACGGGCGATGCGTCGCCGACAGATCGGCGCTGGGCCCCCGATCGTGAGATCCGCACGCTCCTGGGCAGGCTGGGGGCCAGCGGGCCCCCCGCGGCGATCAGTGGGCGATTGGGGGTCGATGCATCCCCCCTGTGTGCACGCACTTAGCGCGTCCCCTGCCCACACCCGCCAGGGTGGAGCAACGCTCGTGGGCACGGCGCGGGGGCTCCCCGGCCACTCGCAGACTTAGTGCTCGCGCTGTCAATGCTCTGCTCTCCTGGGGCATTGCAGCGTCGTCCGCACCCTGCTTCTGCGTGCCCGAGCTCCGTGGCTGCCTGCACGCCCTCCTGTGCTCAGCTGCGCTCCTGCTCTTATATGGACACTTGGCAGGCCGGACGAAAGCTTGACCGGTCGCTTCCAGCGTGGCATCCCCCCCTCTCGCCGCCCCCGAGCTGGGGCCGCCGCACCGCTCTGGGACTGCCGACCTCGGCCTCCCGGGGGCGGCCTGGCGCGCCGCGGCGGGGCCCTCGCGGGCGGTGCCCGGTATCGCGGCACGGCTACTGCCCCCCAGGGCCCCCTCCCTTGACGAGCCAAGCAAGGACCCCCGATCCGCTGGGAGGGGGCCCAAGCCAACACCCTCGTCAAAATTAGCCTCAACAGTGTTTTACGTGGCTGAGCTGTTCGTGGGGAGATACTGGGACAGAGTAGCGAGGACTGCGAGGTACTTGTATGCGCTGCCCTTCCAGAATCAGTCATCATCGGATTTCCGAATCGTTCCCGGTCAGACCACCTGTGCCCTGGCCCCGACATTGAAGGGGCGTCGATCGACTGTCGACATTGAAGGGCGCGCCGACATCGCAGGGGCGTGTTCGCAATTTTTGAGGTTCATTTGTCGAGGATAGTAGGAGTGCCACAAGGGGTATATATATATATGTATATATATATATATATATATACACCGCCCAGACTTACATCATCCCTGATGCGAAGACGGGGTCCTCAGCAAGGCCACCTCTTCACTGTGCTATTAGAATTAGGGTTAGGTCGGGCGTGTCCTCCTACAGGCGGACTCTGGAGGAAAACTATAAAACCCCCAAAATGCTCAAACATGGTCAAAAATAGTAGATACATCGTCCCCTGACTATTTTTGGACTATTTCTGAATATTTCTCCCGTCGAAGAACATACCCGACTTAAAATCCGGGGTTCCTTTAGTCTCGAGGATGCCTCACTGCGGCGACCCGCGGGGCTCGCCGCCGCGGGTGCCTTGGCACGTCCTGCCTGCCTGCACAAGGGGTGGGCCCCGCGGGGCCGAGAGCGCCGTAAGGCCGCCGGTTGGGCGACCCGTCGGGCTCGGAGCGCGCCCGCGCGGGACAGATCGTGGCGTTGGGCAGGGGGCGACCGCCCGAGCATCTCTATCCTCCTCCTCCTCCTCCTCCTCCTCCTCCTCCTCCTCCTCCTCCTCCTCCTCCTCCTCCTCCTCTCCTGCTCCTCCTCCTGCTTTTCCTCCTCTCCCTCGTTTTCCTCCTCCTTCTCCTCCTCCTCCTCCTCCTCTACTCCTCCTCCTCCTCCTCTCCCTCCTCTCCCTCGTCCTCCTCATCCTCCTTTCCTCCTCCTCCGCCTCCTCTTTTCTCCTCCTGTCCTCCTCCTCCTCCGCCTCCTCCTCCTCCTCCTCCTCCTCCTCCTACTACTACTACTACTACTACTACTACTACTACTACTACTACTACTACTACTACTACTACTACTACTACTACTACTACTACTACTACTACTACTACTACTACTACTAACTACTACTACTACTACTACTACTACTACTACTACTACTACTACTACTACTACTACTACTACTACTACTACTACTACTACTACTACTACTACTACTACTACTACTACTACTACTACTACTACTACTACTACTACTACTACTACTACTACTACTACTACTACTACTACTACTACTTACTACTACTACTACTACTACTACTACTACTACTACTACTACTACTACTACTACTACTACTACTACTACTACTACTACTACTACTACTACTACTACTACTACTACTACTACTACTACTACTACTACTACTACTACTACTACTACTACTACTACTACTACTACTACTACTACTACTACTACTACTACTACTACTACTACTACTACTACTACTACTACTACTACTCCTAGAGGTCTACCACGAAGTTCATCTTAGCACAAGCGCACGTTCCAATGGCAGACAAACGCGAGGTTAATATACCCTGCAGGCCGCCCCAAAAAACGGTTACAGCATGTGCCAGGCATGTTGTAAGGTGTACCAACCACAAAAGGTGTTATATCATGACCTGGCGGGCCTATACCAACACCCTTCGCCACTGCTTCATTGAAGGCCGTCAGGGGCTTGACGACTGCTGCAATCCCTCGTCTCGCACTGGATCTTCCACAAATGATCCGAATGTGTGTGGGTACATCTGGAAGGCCTCGACTTACCTACGTAGGTTCCGTCGAGCTACACTGCTGCCCACGGAAGTATCACCACAGGACGATTGGAGAAGAGTAGTTATGCGTTTTCCAGAGTTCCGACGTCGCGATAGAAATGCGGCATCGTCAAGATCATGGTGGGGACCCTGCGCCCGATCCTTCTGCAACATCTCTCAGGCCGGATCCGTCGAAATCGGGTGACAACGCCCGGCGTGCAACACTTGCCAGGAAACTGAAAACACACACACACACACACGGCTGCATTTAGGGAACCGAGCTCTATACATGCTTCGTTACTTGCTGGGGAAAGCGGCGAAAAAATATATACCACACCACCCCGACGTCGTCCCCCGATCCTCAAAAGTCCTGGGATCGAAAAACAGCCAGCCTCTCGATTTCCGAAACTTTTCCGGGGTGCGCTCTGACCAGGACCTCGAGGCGAATCTAGCGGTGGCGACGAGGGCCTCCCGGGAGGCGGGACACGGGGGAAACGACGGGAGGATAGTATGGGTACCTCTTCCTCCTCCGAGGCGTGAGACACTTGCCAGGAAAGTGAAAACCAACACGCACGGATGTATTCACATGTAGAACATCTGGTAGCCCAGACCCCCGACGTCATGATTTTTCCATCACGTCGACCCCCCGAGGTCTGGACCTGTTCCCCAGGACCGGCTTGTCATCCCGAGTCGTTTTTTAACGGCCCCGAGGACTGGTAAGGGCCCCCCGAGGCTGAAAATTGTGAGAAACCTGCCGTCGTGATTTTTTCATTGCTCGAGGGGGTCCAGGCCTACACGTAGGAGATCTGGTAGCCACGCGCTGGGTGCCAATGCGGAAGCCCAGCGCTCACACGGCGCCGGGAGGGCCGGCGTGCTGCAGAAGGCATCCCTGGCCGCACGTGTGCATCCGGCTCTCGCCCAGAGCTGGCCGCGTGGTGTGCAACCAGCTTCCTCTCGGGTAGCCCATATTCGGAGCTGGACAGAACCCCCTTTAGCAAAACGTGGTTTAGTGAAAACGACCTCGGGCCCAAACCCGGCGGGCGCAAGCCTGGAAAATAACGGCCACGGCGCCCTCTCGAGAGCCGAAAACGGACAATTCACTAATCGACGTGTCACTGTTGGGGGTTCTGTCCAGCCCCGACTCTTGGGTAACCCGAAAGGGGGGTCCAGCTGGACTCCAGAAGTATACAGATGCTTTATAACGGTCGATCGTCATACCAAACATGTAGTTTTTTTTAATGGCGATCGCACGTCATAACAAAAAACTGTGTACTCCTGAATTCGAGTTTGTGAAGACGATGGGTCGTCAGAACAAACAACTGTGTGCTTCTGAATTCGAGGGCCGAGTGCTGGAGAGGCATCTCGTCTCACGTGAATCCAGCTCTCGCCAAGGCTGGCCGCGTGATGTGCATCCAGCTTCCTTTTGGGTGGTGCACCAGACTTGGGGCAATTGTATCGCAAATGCACTGCGCCGGAGCATTGTACCGCATTGTATTGCAACTAGCGCAGTACATGCGAAGATCCAGCAATACACTTGCGCCCCAGAATGTGATGCACACCGCAAATCGACTGCAACCCACAAATCTATTGCACCAGATTCATTGCATCACCCCCCTGTAGCTGGACCCTCAGATTCCTGGTGCGACACCTGCATCTCAGGAAAGGGATGCAGCACCGAGGGCCCGAGGAGGATCTTAGGTCACCTCACTTTCGTGCTGCGGCCCCCGCCGTCCCGGACGCCCCTGTTGATCCCTCTCTTCAGGGTCGGAGGGAACAGCCCTTGGGCCTCTGCCCAGAGAGTCAATGTACTGCTCTCCGGGATACGGGGCCCCAGAAATCCCTGCCCATTTCAGGGGGCCATCTTTTCATCCCAAGTCGGTCTTCCCTGGTCCGGGGGCCCCGTGAGGGCCCCCCAGAGGCCAAACACGGCGAAACACGTCATTGACGATGCGTTCCAATGCACTGGTTAGGAGGCAGCTTCTGGGAAGTCTGCGTGAGAACGCTTGAGGGCTACAGAAACCCGATGAAGGAGCCATTAAGCCGGGTTTGGCTGGATTGAGCGGAGGATTCCCCTGACTCCGGATCCGCCCTACTTTGGGGAAATTCGTAAGTAGGGCTTGGAATTTCCGCCTTACTTTTCAAGCCCCGCTGATGCCAATTTCCGCCCCACTTTTCTGTTGTTGTTTCCGCCCTACTTCTGTGGATTTTCGCCCCACTTTATGTTGGGTGCAGAAATTTCCGCCCTACTTTTTCGGCTCCTTATAGGTGGATTTCCGACGCAATTTTAAGTTGGAAAAAAAGCCAAAGTAGGGCGGATCTGGAGTCAGGGTCAGCCGAGTGACGCTGGATTGGGCCACGCCCGGCCAGATGGAGCGGGATGCTGCTGGGCTGCCCCGGCTGTCGACCACGCATGCGCCCGCACCGCTGCTGACCTTCACCTCCCGGGACATCACTGCACCCCGACGCCGGTGGCGGAATGTGAAGGGGAACTGGGACACACAAACAAATATACACAACTAAACAGATTCCCCATGTTTTCGCATATTTCCTGGGTTTCTGTCTTCCCGCCCACTTCCCATATTTTCCCATATTTCCCTGGGGATCGACGATTAATTGTGTCTGTGTGTTTCTTTTCCTCCTGAGAATGGCTGGGGCACAGCACGCCGCCGGGACCTCGGCGAGGGGGCGGCTGGCGCGAGGCCCCGGCGGAGGCTGCGCGCGCGCGAGTCCTCGCCGGCCGGCTGCCCCGTCAGCCCCGTGCGCGCCGCGTCGATGCTGCGGGCGGCGCCGCCGACGCACAGCACCAGGAGGAAGCCCAGCCTCGGCCGCGCACTGCCGCCGCCGCCGCCGCGCGCGCAGGCGATCGGCCGTCGTAAGGTCCTCGTCGTCCATGTCTGCTGCGAGGCAAGGATCGGCCCATGCACACCAGCTGCGGAAACGATCCTGCTGGGCCTCGGGGGGGGGCTGGTCCAGACATGGCTGGAATCCACGGCCTCCCGATGTCCAGGGAGATCGGTCCCCCAGGCGGCGGAGAAGGATGAAGCCGCGCCTCGGACTCTCCCACCGCGGGAGGCGCGGGGGGAGGAGACGATGTTTAGGAGGCATCTCCTGCGAGGTCTTCGTGGGCACGACTACGGCGACTACAGGCTGTTGAGCCCGATATGGGGGCTGTTCGGCAGCGGGCTTGGCCAAATGAAGCCGAGGATTCACAAAGGTCGACTGAACCAGATTAGGCGGGAGAGGGGGAACTGAGCTGGACAAGGCCGGATTGAGCCCGTGTTGTCCAAGCTTACGCCAGTGCCGATGCTGAAGACGGCGGCGACGACGGCGCCGGCAGCGGCGACGACGACACCTCCAGGGCCGCGAGCGACTCCCGCACCCAGTTAAGGCCTCAGTCGGGCCTCGCAGGATCCTGCAATATCTGGCGGTCTGGCTGGCTCCTGTTAGCGCTGAGCCCCGTTCCCAAACCTCCGACGCCACGATCTGTTCATCACGTCGACCTCCAGAGGTGGCTCCACCCATCCGCCGGGACCCGTCTTTCGTCCTGGGCCCTGTGCCGACCGCCCCGAGGCCCGGCAAGGGGCCCCCCGAGGCCGAACCTGCCGAAACGCCTTCGGCCGTCACCGTCTCGTTGCCCGAGGGGGGCCTGGGTTTTACGTGAGCCCCGAGGCCCATCCGACCCCGCCTGCGCCGATTTCCCCCCCCTACCTCCCGCGGCCTGCCGACACGATCGGCCCACGGGGGCGCCCGGCCGCCGCGCGCCCCACGGCGCCGAGGCCGCACGCGCCGCGCCCGGGGGGCGCGGCGCGCGCGGGGCGGTGCCCTCCTCGGGGGCGCGCCGGCCCGGAGCTCCGACGCTCCAACCAAAAACTCGGAGCGGGCGGCCTTTGGCCAGCTTCGGCCTCCCGGGGCCCTCGCAAGGCCTCGGGAGCGTCAAAGCCCGACTCGGGACGCGACTCTGGCCCTACAGGGAAGTGGTCCGGACCTGGGGCCCACGCGTATATAGAAACAACGCGTATAGAAACAAACCAGAACAACCGGATGTCTGGGGACCCGGGTCGATGCAAGCCCGGGTCAGCTAGGCTTTGCAAGATCCTGCCAGTTCAAGACGAAGCCAGGACGAGGACAACATCGGGTGGGGATGAGCCGAGCATCTCTGCGGCCCTGTGGATCTGGAGGTCTCGGGCGCCGCGGCCTCCTCAGAGCGTTCCGGGACACTCTTCAGAGCGTTCCGGAACGCTCCGGGAGGCTCCGGAGCAGGCTTATCCTCGTCCGAGCAGGGTCCGGTAGCATCCTGCAAGAGATCCCGGGCGCAAGCCCGGGTCAGCGCACCCCCAGGATCCCGAGCTATCCGGCGCTCTGGCGGACCCCTGCTTGCATGTTGTGACCCCCGTCTCGCGGCTCGATCGGCCTCTCATGCTCGCGCCCGCCAGCCGGCACCGGCGTGGGGGGCCGTCTTCTCGGGCTCTGGGGGCTGCCAGGGAGTGGCTCGAGGCCCAGGGCCTCTCGGGTCATGAGAAACTCGCCACGGCCTAGTTTCATCACGTAGTCCTGGGATGTGTTTTTCTTTGCCGCACACTTCCTCGCGGATATGTGTTTCTGTCGCAACTGCGTGTCGGCCTCTGGGAGCCCTTGCTGGGCGGACCGGCAAGACAGGGCTCGGGACGAAGAAACGGTCTCGGGGGGCGGGTCGCTGTGAAAAAATCCGGAGGGAACACCAACGGGGACCATGACCGAGACCAAACGCAGAAATGCCGTGTTCACCTTGGTCAGCCTCGATCTTGGCCAACGTCGATCCGTGAAACATCCTCGCGAATCGACGACGGCCGACATGGACCGTGACCAAAAGCGGCATCGACAAAAGCCAGCGACATCTTGGCCAAGGTTCCCGTACTTTTCACTCTCTCTCGAGAATCACTCATGCTGCATCCTCGGGGGACCTTGCCTGTCCCGTCGCTGCCCTACCCGCGTCGAATTCGTGCCGAATCCATGTCGGACTCGTCGGATCCTTGTCGAATCCGCGTCAAATCTACGCCCCAGTCCGCGTCAGGTCCCCACCGAGCCCGAGCACGAGAGAAGATATAGCAATCTCCGGGGGCAGGCGAGGTCCCCCGACGGTGCAGCGCACGAGTGGGTCTCGCAGCCTGTGGCGGCCGACGCCGTTGAAGGGGAACTGAAACACACAAATAAATACACACAAATAAAAATATCCCCCATATTTTCCCATATTTTCTGGGTTTCTGTCTTCCCCCCCACTTCCCATATTTTCTCATATTTTCTGGGAATCGCCGATTAATTGTGTCTGTGTGTTTTTTTTCCTCCTGAGCCGTGCAAGAGACGGCACGCCTGGGGTCTGGGAGGCAGCGCTGGGGGAGCGAAGTCGGGACTCCGGGGGGGGGGGAGGAGGGGGGGGGGGACGCCGCCGTAGAGGAAAAACTTCGGGGGGGGGGAGAGCGGCCGAGACGTCGAGAAGCCCTGGGGAACCGCATGCCGCCTGCACGGCGCCGCGCTTCCGCCCCCCTGGAGCGCGCGATCGGGCGGCCTTTTTCTGAGAGCCTCGGGTCGCATGCCCGGTCACGCCGGGCGCTTGCGCGTGGAAGCTTCGGGGGAGAGGCCGAGTCGTCGAGAGCCCCTGGGAAGCCGCGGCTGCCTTCCCCCGCGGCGCCCCCGCGAGGGTCGGCCCCTGGAGCGCGCGATCGGGTCGCCTTTTTCTGAGATCCTCGAATCGCATGGTGAACGTTGGAGCGGAATTTGGGGGGGAGGGGGAGGGTCTGGCTCTGGACCTCTGCTCAGCGCGACTGTTTGGAGCAGTGCTCCCATGGGGAATCCTACGGGGAGCCGTCCACCTGCTTGAAACAGGCGCCCAAAACAGCCGAGATCTACTCCATCGGGCGGGAGGGGGGGAGGAGGGGTGCGAGGGCCTACGCCGATCGGCAAAACAATGAATCAGAAAACGATCACATGTTTGTTCACGCTCGGCGTTTGCGCCTGGACTTGGGTCCCAGCAGGGCCGTCGCACATCGATCCGCCTCGAGAAGTGGGGCAGGACGAGTGGGTCTACAAAGGGGCCCCGGGACACACAAACAAATCCACACACATCCCATGATTCCCAAGATTTGTTTCATAATCTCCTAATCTTAGTTTGCCCCAACTTCCTATATTTCCCACATTTTCTGGGCAATCGACGAATCTTTGTGTCCGTGTTTTGTTTCCCTCCTGGGTCTATGAAGCCACGGTCGTGGATCGTCATGGAAAGACACGGGTCTTGACGGAAACAGGCCCTAGACTTCAGGGAGCTTGCCCCAGGGCCAGCTTGCAATCCCGAGTCATTGTTTGACGGCCCTGGGTCCCGTGGAGGACCCCTATGAGGCTCGAAAACTGAAAGAACAAAGAAGACGTGCATGCATTGTTTTTCTTCACGTTATTCCCAGGGCAAGAATGATGTCACGATGCGGCTGGCTGAAGATACATTCCAAGAACTCGAGAGTGCATAGCGGACCTCGTTTCTGGAGCCCGCGCGGAACAACCGGAAATCTGGGAAGTCCTGGAAGGTACCGTGACCATGACATCCTGCTCCTCTGATTTCCCTGAGATGTGGCATGGCTTGGCGTCATCGGACCCCGAGTCCCGAGGCAGCGGACCCGGATCGCGCGATCGGGCGGCGTCGCACCGAGGGCCCAGCAGGCAGCCGAGGGGCACCAGGACTCGCATCGCCGACGCCTGCGGGGCGGTGCGCGCGCGTCGCTGGGCGGTGGTCTCTGACATCTGGACCAAAGGCCCGGCGGCAGCAGTGCAGGGTGCCCCGGAAGGAGGTGTCGCATCGGCTGATCAAAGCCAGATGGTGGAATCGGCACGAGTCCGATGCAGGCTGGCAGAAACGTGGCTGCAGTTTGGCAAGGGTGTGATTGCAGTTCGGCGGAAGTATGGTGACAGCTTGACGGCGGTTCGGTTGCAGCTTGCATTGTGGCGCGCCCCTCCTCGCCTTCCGTGTTGTTCCTTTGTGTGTGTGTGTGTGTGTGTGTGTGTGTGTGTGTGTGTGTGTGTGTGTGGGGTTCTGAGTCGGCGTCGACTCTTCGGCTGAATGGGCACGGGTGCAGTTATATTCACGACGTGGAAAACTATATTTCAGCTCAGCGGAACAACAGATCGTGAGACTGCACGAGTTTTCCCAAACATGCAGACAAAGTGCAACACGTACGTACCTTGGCAATTCAAACCAAGCTATAACCACACATGTCTACGCCAAGCTGTACAACGCCAGCAACACTTCGACCGCTCTGCAACTCTGCAGCACATATCCTTGAAACTCCACGAGGCAACAACAGAACCGCAACACGTCAGCTGCAGATTGGTAGCCGCCTTCTCCGACATTCTAACATGCTGCAACACACGAGGTCCAGATTGGTTGTAAGTGTCCTTCAGTGTCATTCAACAGGGGACGAAGCTGCAATATTGCGGCTCGGTTGCGATGCCATGCAAACCCAGCTGCAACTGCAATTTGGTCGCGGGCGGTGTAAATTGCTGCGGTCGCATACGCTCTAACACGAAGCACAAACTATGATTCATGCAGGTAACATGGCTGGTATTGCTTGGTGCAATCAGTTTCATATTAACGTCTGAATCCGCGGATCTGACCATGCCGACAGAAATGCTGGCCACGATGTTGTCTGCAAAGCACCAGCGGTAACCGCATATCGATAGCCAGAGGAGGAGGCGGATGAGGAGGGGGAGGAGGGAGGAAGAACAAGAGGAGGGGGCACGATTGGGAGGATGACAGGAACAACGACGAAGAGGACGAGGGCGAAATGCGAGGAAGAGCGGCATGACTACACATTGCTGCACAATCACGCAGGAGGCGAAACAAGACCACTCGCCGTCTTCGTCCTGCTCCGCATTTCGCTTCGCTTCGCTGTAGCGGGCAAGCCGTCGAAATGCCAGAAAGCCTTGAACAACACATCTTTAAATCGATAAGGGGGACTCACAACTGCTCCCCGAAATCATTCGAAATCCGATTCCGAGCCGCCATCAATTTATTTTACTTTGTTATGTTTTAACGACCAGCCTTGAGGCGCTCAGCACTGGTCGACCAGGGGCATCAACAGTCTCCTGAGTCAGCCCAATCCTGACGAGAAGCTTCGACTGACCTGACCCCACACCAACCCTCCAGCAACCCCAGACAGGAGCTCGTCAGCTTGGGCCTCCTGGGAGACCAGACTCGGAACCTGACGAGCCACGAGACAAGCCAAGTCCTGTCCAGTGGCCAAGTCCAATCCAGTGGCCTGACAAGCCACAAGACCGACTCTCCAGCCTGCGTATTGCGGTGCCCAACTGGGGAACCTGCCTGCCTTCAGCAGCCCGGTTCCGCTGCCTCCTCAAAGCGGTGGTCGGGCCCCAGCAGGGCGTTGCAAGATTCTGCGCGCATTCCCTAGCATAGTTGCCACAAGATGTGCGCACGGCCACGCGGCTGCCCGACACAACAGGCCACCAGTCCGCCTGAACAACCGAAAACATCCTGATACAATGACCTTGCAATTTCAAAAACACCTCAAACTCTGGATCATCATCGGGGGAGATCGCGGGAAACAAGAACCTGCACCTGCCTACCGTGAGGGCGGTCCTGCCAGCAAGGTCCGGAGGGGGCTTCGCGAGGGTGCAGCGATCCACCCACGGCGAACTCGCAAGTTTTGCTGCTGAGCCGCCAACGGGCCCGCCTCGACTCCCAGCAGATGCAATGCTGCCCACCAACTCCCTGGCAGTAGCAGCCGTGCACGAGTGACACCTGGCACCCATCCTAGCGTACGAGTCTGCGGATTCATTGACCTCGCACTCCCAAGCCGTCGTGCGGCCTGCATCAACTTCAGCGCTCGTGGAGTGCGACCGTGTTTCATGAACGGACAGCGTGCCATCATCCTTACCATCATCAGAAATGCACCACACGCGATGCCAAAAATGAACATTCGTGCACTCGGCCGACATGGACCATTCACGATTGCACAAACGATGTAAGGTGGGAGCCCAATCAGCGCACAACCAGCCCAACATAGCACAAAGGCAGCATGTGCATCGCATAGTACTCAGCATCATGCGGTATCTGCTGTGGTCACTTATCTGAGGGGACCGCCCCGCAAGCAATTCGTCGGCCCAACGGGCCAGAGGGGTGTTAAGACCTCCGGTAACTAATTAACAATATTTCTAGTTCGCGCGCGCGGGGCGGCCCCTGGGGGCCCCCGGACGAAAAGTTCCCCGGCTGACCCCCGGCCGGGTCCCGGCCGGGTCTCGGGCGATCCCCAGGGGGGAGGCTATTTTTCGCCACCCCTCACGAGGATCGTGGCCTCCGAGGGGGTGGCTGCAATCGACTACCCACTCTCCCGCCCCAAGGGGCCCCCAAGAGCCCCCTAAGAGGCCCCAGGGGAGCCCAAGACGCCGCCAAGGAGCCCCAAGACGCTCCCAAGAAGCCCACAAGATGCCCCCAAGACGGCCCCAAGAGGCCCCAAATAGCGCTCCAGGGCCGGCGGAATGAGCGAAGCGATTAATAACAATTATACTCCCGCAAGCGTCGGCCATGACATGCGCCAAACCCGGTAGCCGAAGCAGCGGCTGGTCGGGAAAGAAGGCGCTGTGGTCTGAGAAAATTGCGCCAGACGGCCAACCAACGTCTGCCCTGTTCACACAGCGATGCATCCCCGCTTCGTGAGACAAGAAAGCTGTAGGAGCCAACTCCAATGGAACCGGGAATACCCCGCATGCGACCTTAGTCCAATCCTGCCTCAAAAGGCACGCCGTGCGAGCCGTGTGAAACAACAAGTTGGAAACATGATGCCTGCGGTCTGGCGCACAACCGTAACGACGGTGAAACAGCGTGCTGGACCCCTCACCATACAAGGTGCACAAGTTCGAGGCTGCCAGTCCGTGCCTGTGAAGATGATCTTGGGTCCACCAATGCCTCGCAGAATGTGCATGTGCCGCGCCGTCCAACCGCAGTAGGCTTACGATCCAATAGATGCTGCGAGGGGTCCCAGAAAATCGGGCGCAACCCAAAAAACCGCTACGCGACGACAGGGATCGAACATCCGAGGCGTCACGAGCAGCGTGGCGCGCCAGCTCGCGCACCTGGGTCGGCGACGCCTGCAAGAGGTCAAACACTCCAGCCCCGTGTCCGTGTGTACCAGACGGCACGAGCGAGGGGCCCATTCGAGGTACTGAAAGCTAAGGGCAACCAAATGTGCTGGAGACGTAGCCTGAGTCCAAGACGTCCTGAGGAAACCGTGGAAACATGTTAGAGTACCGATAAGGACGGAACCCCTTCCCGGACAACCCTCGCACACTGGAAACCAGGGTGGGAATGGCAAGAGTGGAGGGGATCCACGCACATACCGTCCCTCGAACATCGAGGTTTCAACCCCACGGATGTGCTCACCTTGTCCTTCTGCAGCGAGCGGAGCGCCGCCAACCGCAGACAGTGCAACGTGCTCGGCGGAACGCCCATGGTAGCTGATCCACATAGGCATCCAGCCTGAGGTCCAGCGCGGTGGACCTTAGACACTGGGTCGCCTGCCCTGCGCAGCCTGCGCAGACTCTGAGCCTGCTTCAGGCCCTTGATGACGCGCTTGGTAGCCGTGGCGGTGGAGCACCACCGGATGGCCACCACATCGCACCCTAAAGATCGAGAAGAAACTTTGGGAAAAAGCCCGGTTAGTCGCCAAGCGCGCCTGCAACTTTGTCGGGAGCTCCGCGCACGACGCAAGGGAAAACGACTTTCCAGCTGACAAGACCAGCTCCAGACGCCTCAAGCCATCTATCAACTTGTCCCCGACCTTGCCAACATGCTTGAACACGTGTCTCACGGTGCCGATGTTC